TGCTGCTTGGCCTGCTGTGTTCATCCAGCCCTGCACCTTGTTGTCTCGGATTCTCCAGCATCTGCAGTTCCTACTATCTCTGATTCCAGTTTTCAGTTTAATTTAGGTTATGATGAAAATGTTTAGAAACACTAATTCAGGACTAAATCTATAGAAGTATAAATATGGATGAATCAGAGAAAGCCACCTTAGATTTCCTAAAGGGAAATTGTGTAATAACTTATTGTGAATTTGCAAAGTTACCGGAGGAGATTGATGAGTTAAATTCTGTTGATGTGGTGTTGGTGGATTTCTAATAGGCAGTTCATAAGGTGCCATACAACAGACTCGAAGAAAAGCTCATGGACTTAAAGGGTTTGGAGCAACTTGGATTCTCAATTGCCTGAGTGACAAGAAACAAAAGTGTAGTGTTAACAAGTAGGTCCAAACATAATGAATGTTCTTCAGGCTGGAGGAAGATTTATAGTGGAGATCCCCAGGGGCTAGTGTTTAAACTCTTGCTTTTCCTGTGGATTAAACTTCTAGATGAAGTAGTGAATTCAGGCACAGTTACAACATTTAAAAGACATATGGATAAATACATGAATAAGAAATATTTGGAGTGACATAGACTAAGCACAAGCAGGTGGGACTCGTTTAGTTTACGATTATGGTTGTCATGGACTGGTTAGACTGAAGAGATCTGTTTCTATGCTGTCTTACTGTATGACTCTAAGTGTCTGATTTGCTGTTCAATGTCAAAGGATTGACTCACTTCATTGCATAGCCCCCCAGTGTTGATGTCATACAAGTTTTCTTCCTGACAATATTTTGACATCTTCCAGCTTCGAATTCTGATTTCTTGTAATGGGAGGAAACACCTATTCAATGCTTTAATCAACATTGCATTTTAAAGGTGTGAAATGAGAAATGACCATTCATTAAATCAATCATGCTCTGTCCATAGAATTTTATTCACTTTTGAGTTCATAATGTTAATGGAGCTTCAATTGATGCCAAGTGATGTCTATGCCATGGGAAACCCACGGAAAGGAAGTGGAAGATAAAGAAAAATTCAAGTTGACGTTAATGATTCATACTTTAATCATTCCTTGAATCCCCTCTCTTCCTCTTCCATTCACACTGAATGATCCTAATATGTATGTGCATGGCAGGTTTAGTTCTGTTATTTTACCGATTACTGTTGTTTTGGTTGATGCTTGTATGAAAGAAGTAGATATTGATGAAGTGACAAGAATGGTGGATGACTGTTATTGAGGGAACCTGAGACCACCTCCCTACTCCACACCCAACAAACAAGACTGCTGGCCTGATGCCCCTCCCCAGTCCAGACAAACATCCACCAGAGGCCTGAACCCAACATGCTATATGGCACCCAACAACTGTGACAGGGGCATGTTGGTGAGGGAGGATTGATCACTGTCAAGGTGCTTAGGTGGGGATTCACACTGACCAATGAAATGTCAGCAGTAGTATAATGAATTATCATACACACAGACTTCAGACTTTTAAATTTCATGAAGTACACCATCTACTTCCATGGTAAGGGTGCATAGAGGAGAGCTCAAATGTCTTTTAATTTTCAGGATTTTTCTTTGTAAAGGGACTTGATTGCAAATTTGAGGAACAACACCTTATCTTCTGCCTGGGCATACTAACAGCCCGGAGGACTTAACGTTGAGTCATCTAATTTCAAATAAACCCTCCTTCCCATCCCCCAGCTCCCTTTCCAGCCCCGCCTCCTCCCTGCCATTCCACCTACCTACCCTCCCTTCGAGCTACCATCCCTCCTGTCGACCAACCAGGTCATACCTACTACCAGTGTCCACCTATCACCACCATTCCACTATCCTCCCCTCTCTTTATCTGCATTTCCCCATACCACCACATCCAGTCCTGAAGAAGGGTAACACCCAAAACGTTGACTTCTTCTTTCCTCCAGATGCTGCCTGGCTTGCAGTGTTCTTCCAGCCTCTTGTTTGTCGACCTTGGATTCCAGCATCTGTAGTTATTTTTTTGCCTGTATCTATTGACTGGAATTTATTGGATCCCTCCAGAGTGTGGATGTGTGTTGGGGGCATTATGCCCAAATCTTATCCAGTGACCCCTCCCTAGTCCAGACACCTGTGCTCTGTGATCCAGCATAGATCCTCAGGCTGGGCATTGGAACATTCATGGGAGCAGCCACTGTTCCTGGTAGAATTGTTGGCAATGGACAGTTGCCACCCTTTGCTTGTTTAGCAGCTTGTGGGGAGGGCATTTTCCACACCTGAGACTTTGGTTACATGGAAGACCCAAGTTGGCCAAAGAGCATATCAAATTGGGCCTTCTCTATGGATGTGGTGAGGGATTCATATCAGTTCACCAACTAGTGTTGAGGGGGTCTGTTGATAGAATTATATCTGTCCATTATATTTCCTGTATTCATAGAATTCCTAAACTGTGCAAGCAGACCATTTGGCCGATCAGGTCTATACTAAACGTCTAAAGTCCATCCCATCCAGACCCAACCCCCACCCTATCTATGCAACCCATGGTTAATCCACCTAGTCTGCTCATCTTTGGACTGTGGGAGGAAACCTGCACAGTGACATGGAGAATATGCAAACTCCACACTGGCAGTCATCCAAGGCTGGAAACAAATCTAGGTTCCAGGTGCTGTGAGACAGCAGTGTTTACTGCTCTGCCACCGTGCCACTCCCTGACAACCCATTGCTCTTCAAAATTGTTGTTTGTCACTATAATGCCCAGTTGGTGTGAGGGATTGTAGATGTAGAGAAGGTCCTCTACTTCTAATACCATAAAATTGAAGAATTAATTTAAAATTCAAAGTTAAACTGTGCAGTTGTGGCGTAGTATATTTCATCTTCATGTTAATATATGTTAAATGCAATTATAAAAGCTGATGGGGAATTTGGATTTTTTTGATATTTCTGCCTCTTCTCATTTTATTTTCTGTACAGCGATAAACTGTGGAAATCCTGGTTCAATTCTGAATGGATATTATAAAGCATCAAAATGGACAGTTGGAAGTAATGTTACCTTTTATTGTGACATTGGGTGAGTCTTCAGTATATAACTCACAGAATAATTTTCATGAAGCACTGTACTTTATCGTGATTTATGGCGGTGTTGGATGACTGCACATTAATTTCATTTTTCATGGAAGTCTTTATATTAATTCTGAGTGAGGCTTCCATTCCAGTTTTCAACCATCCAGTTAAACAAAACCATTGGTAATGATCAACGTATGGAATGTTAGTGTTGGAATAGAAGTATTAATGCAAACACAGAACTGTTAAATATGTTATCGGTAGGAAGATCTGTGATACAAACCAGATGTCCCTTGGTGCTGTTTCTTCAAAATATTAAACTTAGAATTCAACATTATGCTGACTCCAAATATATGTGCCAATGTTTTGAATGTGTACTGTACTTTTATGGGGTGCATTTAAAACTGAAATGGAAGAACATTTCATTCCTATTCCATTGTTCTCCTACCCTAGTCCAATGTTTGATTTATTTTGCTTTGTGGATAGATGAATAGATGTTTCCTTTATGAACCTCAGAACCCCTACATGTTCTGTCCAGTGACACATGTTTTCAGATAATTTTCATGTCTGATAACAGGTGGCTTACCATTCCTTTTTTTAGATACAAAATTATCGGCAGAGATTATCAACAATGTACAGCTGATGGTTGGGATGGTGAGCTTCCATCCTGTGAACGTAAGTTATATTTCTCTATATTGTAACGTGACTGGGTTGCATGTCGGAAAAAATGATTGAGTCACTTACAGTGAGTCATCATGGCTCATGTCCAAATTTTCTTCATTATACTAGTTTGCCATTCTCTAGCTTGGAATTATTCCTTTCAATTGGCGAGAAAAATTATTCATTTCCTTTTGATTCACCTTGCATATGGAAAAAGAACATTGCAGGAACCAATCATCAAATCGTTCCTACTTCTAGAAAAATGTATTTTTCTACCTGAGCATCATAATGGTTTGGAACAATGAGCTGAGTTTCTGTGGTGAAGGAAAGTTTAGGAGATGCTCATTTTAGTTGCAGTTTGGTATCAGCAATTTTGGCCCATGGAAATTAAATGTAGAGGAAATTATGCAATCCATGCTAATTATTCACGTTTAAATCATACAGAGGGCAGGGGTCTGAATTGTCACTCTCTTGTCTGGTGTCAGCCAGATTTGAGAATTGCTATGGGGACATCAGGGGTTTGCTATCAAGTGAGCCTGTGGATTGTTGTTGGTTGTGCCTACAGAAGGGGGGGACTGCTATCAGCTAGTCCTAGGGATTCTCAATAGTGGGATTGGAGGATTTCATTGGTCTGGCACAACAATAGTTACTGCTGAGAGGTGGTGGATGTCAAAGCAGAAGACTATAGGGCTGTGGGTTGAAGCACTTGAGAGCAATCATCAGAAGTTAGTTGTGCCTCAGGGGTTGAATGGGACCTGTGTGTCTTCCCCTTGACTCCTGAAGGCAGCACCGTAAAATTTGCACCCTTGACATGATGTTCCCCCATTGTCAGTCACTCAGTGCCTGATCATGGGACGCAGTGTAAGGAAAGGTGGGGCCACTGAACTCCATTTTAATGCCCTTCCTTGTGACTCACTGCACACAGTTTCTGGTGACTGACTCCACACATCCCCATCCCAACCCCCATTCACATCACTGATGTTCTAGTATTCAATGAAGATCCTTTTGGTCTGCCCTGGAGTATGAATGAGAGCAGTCACCAGTCAAAGTGTCACTTCCAGCAATGGAATGCTGCTTACCACTGGCTCACAAAGGTGAATATATATTGTGTATGATGTTGAATTACTGCTGGAGATTGCTGTGGTATATTCATAGTGCTGTTGCAAACAGATAACAGTTTGTAATTCTGAGTTTTTACAGATCAAGAAAAAGTCTTGATTTTGTGTTGCTATATCTCTGAATTCTGAATTCCAAATTTGGAATAACCTGATAATGTTATCAGTTTCATTGTGCTCTTCATGTTTATATTAAACATTTTGGTGAAAAATGCAGTTGTTGAGTTTGGAGTTTTGTTTCTAGCTTTTCTTATTGTATTTTCTGTGCAGCAATAACCTGTGGTAGCCCTGGAGAGATTCTGAATGGACGTTATACGACTCCAAATGAGACAGTTGGAAATAAAGTGTTTTTTTATTGTGACTTTGGGTGAGTATTCAGTCAAAAATTACTGGGAAAATTTTAATGAAAGTCTGTTATTTAAATATTGTGATTATGACAATTTCAGACTGCCATCTCTTGTGTATGACATTTCTGATGGTGGCTAAGAATGTGAGCAGTGATTGCATCTTTCAATTTAGTGTTGAACTGAGAATCTTTAAAGTAATTGCTATACTGATCGAAGTCAGTGATGTTAGCACTAACATTGGAATATTACTGCACAGTTAGAAATGCTGAATGTTTTAATGATCCCTAGTCACGTCATCTGCAATCAATAATGGACATTGGACTCTGCTGGTTTCTCAACTGTTGAATAACATTGTCAATCAGTTCTAATGTGAGCGAGATGCATCAATATTTCTCCAGTGACTGTAGTTTAAATCGAGTCTGAGCCCTTTTAATGTGAGCAAAAACCGAACTATATTTGATTCTTTCATTAATCTGTGAACCTAGTCCCATTTTTCAAAGATGTTTGAAGTTTCTTGGGATGTCACGGTGGCTTGGTGGTTAGCACTTCTGCCTCACGGCGCTAGGGACATGGATTCGATTCCAGCCTTGGGTGGCTGTATGAATGGAGTTTGCACATTCTCCATGTGTCTGCATGGATTTCCTCCCAGTGCTCTGTGTTTCCTCCCACAGTTCAAAGACATATGGGCTGGATGGATTAGCCATGGGAAATGCAGTTACAGGGATGGGGTAGGGGTGTTTTTTCTGGGTGGGATGCTCTTTGGAGGTTCAGTGGGGACTCGATGGTCAAATAGCCTACTTTCCATGCTGCATGGATTCTACGACTTGTGGCTGTTTCCAGACATTTATTTGTCTTCAGACTTTTTAATCTAGTCAGTGAAAGAATATCGCCAAAGTGACCTCCAATTTATTGATATAAGTGGTGTATTTCTCTTTTTTAGATACAAGATGATGGGTAGAGCTTATCGACAATGTACAGCTGAGGGTTGGGATGGTGATGTCCCATCCTGTGAACGTAAGTTATGTTTCCATGTTTTGTAAAGCGATTGATTTGCTGATCAGTGCAAAATGACAGGCTTGCTTTAAAGGAATTATTATGTAGTGTTTATTGGCATCCAAGCTTTCTCCCCTTAAGTTGTTCGTTATCCTGTAGATTGGAATTCTGATTTCTTGGAATGAGAGACAACATCTATTCAACGCTTTAATCTGCACTGCATATTAAAGTGCATTGTGTGTGAAATGAGAAACTCAGCAAATCAATCCTGCTTTTTCTGAAAACTTTACTCTTTTGCCCTAGCTCAAATGTTGAAGCAAAGAGTTCAGTTTTGGTGTGCAGTGAGAAGTTAGAAGCTGCTAATGTTAGTGAAGCTTAAGCTGACAGGCAGTAATCATTTGGACCTTGTGGAATTCAGGGGAGGCAATTCTCCTATGTTTTCATTTTCTTCTGTTCCTGTTTGAAGTTCCCACTTGACTTTACCCCACTGAATTATTTGCTTTATTGCGACCAATAGAAAAGTATAATGTGATCAAAACAAGTCAACTTGGTGTTACAAAAGCAAAATGCTGTGTAACAAACTTATTAGCCTTCATTGAGGTTGTAACTATTGGGATATATTCTGGACTGCCAGTCAAGGAAGAACACATGGATTTCCAAATGCTATTTGTTTGTATTCCACATGTAAGATTCAGAAGCAATATAACAGTTCAGAGTTTTTCTTGATCAAAAAAAATTCCAACAGACTTGTCAACTAGGGCCTAGATATTCTGATGGCCAGAATCATTGGAGCAAAATACAATGGAGTTGCAAATCAGGAACATGGAGAACCCAGAGATGACTGACTCTGACTGTAGGATTTGCCCACAAATTGAATTTTCAATAGGCAATCTCCCGAACCCTCTGAAAAAATACATTCAAGTGAAAGAATTCTGAGAGGGTTAAAAGTGCAAGGACTAAAACCTGAATCTAACTCCTGGATAAATATTCATCTAACCCCAAACCTCACCACTGAAGTCCCAAGCTACACCATTCTGTCCCTGACCCTGACCCTGACACCCTCAGGACTCCTGACAACCACTCCCTTACCGGACCCAACTTCCACTCCCCACCTCAGCCTATACTTGTCAGACATGGCACTCTGGACCCGACACTGTCCGCACTGCTTCCATTGCCAAGTCTGACCTCTCCTGGATACAACCGGCTTGACCCTGTTCTCAATTCAAAAGTCCCTTTTCCTGTCAACCTGAGACTGCCTCCATACCCTGCTCTTGACAAACATGACTTCTGGCCTAATACCCCTCACTGGACCAGACAAACATCCAGCTGTTTGATCCAGCACAGATCCTCAGGCTGGGCAATGGAACATTCATAGTAGCAGCGACTGGTTCTGGTAGAGTTACTAAAATTTGAGAACTGCCAACCTCTCTCTAGCAGCTTGTGTGGAGGGCATTTCCAAACCTGAGACTTTGGTTACATGGAAGACCCAAGTTGGCCAAGGGCACTTATATCAAAGTGGGCCTTCTCCATAGAAGTGATGAGCGATTTACGTCGGTTCACCAACTGGTTCTGAGTTTTCAGTTGACAGAATGAAATCACTCCATTATCTTTTTGAATTGTTGTTGAGGATTGTTGTTAGTCAATACTGTACCAAGATGGTATGAGGGATTGTAGATTTAGCAAAAGTCCTGTACTTGTAATACCATAAAACTGGAGAATAAATTCCAAATTTAAGATAACTTGATAATCTGGGCAATTGTGTAATTTATTATTTCACTTTCATGTTGACAGTCTGTGAAAAAAAACTGATGCGGAATTTGGATTTTCCTCATGGTTTTTGCATGTTCTCAATTTATTTACTATATAGAAATAAACTGTGGAAACCCTGGTTCAATTCCAAATGGATATTATAAATCATCAAAATGGACAGTCGGAAGTAATGTTACCTTTTATTGTGACATTGGGTGAGTCTTCAGTATATAATTCACTGAATAATTTTAGTGTGGCACTATATATTGTAAGGTAGTGTTTAAGACAGTGTTAGATGATCACACCTTCATTCAATTTATAATGGAAGCTCTTCATATTAATTGAGTGAGGCTTCCACCCTAACGTTCAGCCTTGAAGTTTATCAAAACCATTGGTAACGATCAAGATGGGGAATGCTAATTCTGGAATACGAATTTTAGTGCAAAAATAGAAGTGTTAAATGTGTTAGCGGTAGGAAGATCCATAGGCTCAAATACAAACCAGATGTCCCTTAGGGCTTGTCTACAAAATGTTTAACTTACATTAGAAGTCAGCATGACAGTAAATAAGCATTTAGCTGGAATTAGAATTAGGTTGTATTGTCACTTGTACTCAAGTACAGGGATACTCGAGTACAATACTTGAGTACAGTGAAAAGTGTACAAAGTTGCCATTTCTGGCATCATCTTAGATACAAAGGTGCCTAGGTACAAAATCTTATGTATAACTTAGAAAAATAAAGAAATAGAGTTAAAAGTTCAGCATTACAGTCCTACTGGAGCAGAGAAGAAGAGAAAGAAAAGAAAAAGATAGATGGAGTGGACGGGTCCACTCTGAACTTCACCACACGGGGCTTCACCTCAAGGCCAGGAGTCTGTGCTGGGCTTCACCTTGGGACCGGGAGACCCACAAGTCCACGGTGGTCCTCACTTCAAGTCCATGCTGTGCCAATGTTTTGTATGTGCACTGTACATATGAGGTGTTTCTAAAACAGAAACACAACTATATTTGATTCCTCAGTGTGGAGCTGGAGGAACACAGCAGGCCAGGCAGCATCAGAGGAGCAGGAAAGCTGATGTTTCGGGTTGGGACCCTTCTTCAGCCAGTTCTTACTGTCTCTACATTTGATTACTGTTTCATTGTTCTGTTAACTTAGTACAATGGTTTGATTTATTTTTCTTTGTTGATAGTTGAGCAGATATTTCCTTTTTGAACCATTGAACTCCTAACGTATACTGTCCAGTGACACATTGTTTCAGTTAATCTTCATGCCTGGTAACGAGTGTCTTACCATTCTTTTCTAGATACAAAATTATTGGCAGAGATTATCGACAGTGTACATCTGATGGTTGGGATGGGGAGGTTCCATCCTGTGAACGTAAGTTATATTTGTCTCTTTTGTAAAGTGACTGGGTTACATGTCCGAAAATAAACGATTGAGTCACTTACAGTGAGTCATAATGGCTCATGTCCAAATTTTCTTCATTGCACTATACTAGTTTGACATCTTCTAGCTTTAAATTCTTTCTTTCAATCAGAAAAAAAAAATTCATTGGTTTTTGATTCACATTGCATATGGAAAGAACATTGTAGGTGCACTGAGAAATGACCAGTTACCAAATCATTCCTACTACTTCCAGAAGAATATATTTTTCTACCTGAGCACCATGTTAGTTTGGAGCAAAGAACTGAGTTTCAGTGGGTGATAGAAAGTTTAAGAGATGCACATTTTAAGTGAATTTTGAAATTAATAATTTGGGCCCATGGAACTTGAAGGCACAGGATGCAATGCAATGCATGCTAATTATCCATGCTTAAGTTATACAGAGGGTAGGGGTCTGAATTGTCAATCCCTTGTCTTGTGTCAGCCACTTGAGGATTGCTGTGAACACATCTGGGATTTGCCATCAGATGAGTCAGTGGATTGATATTGGCTGTGTCTAAAGAAAGGTGGGGACTGCTCTCAGCTAGGTGGTGATCAATGCTGTTAGCCAGTCCCACGGATTCTCAATGGTGGGATTGGAAGATTTCATTGGTCTAGCCTGCGGAGTGGCATCTGCTGTTGGGTGGTGGGGGCCAATGCAGATGCTATAAGGTTGTGAGTTGAACCAGTTGAGAGCAATTATCCTTGAGCCCACCGGATGTTAGTTGTGCCACTGGGATTGAATGGGATGCATGTGGTACTCCCTTGACTCTTCAAGGCAGTATATTTCAATCTTGTCCTGGTGTTTCCTCATACTCAGTCATGTAGTACTCAATCATGGGATCCAGCGTAAGGAAGGGAGCTCACTGAAAGCCATTTTAAAGCCTTTTCTTGTGACTCACTGCACACAGTTCTCTGGTGACTGACTTATCCCCATCCTAAACCACATTCAGATCACTGAGGTCCTAGGATTCAGTGGAGGTCCTTTTGCTGTGTTGTGGAGCGTGAATGGCAGCAGCCACCAGTCATGGTATCATTGGTATCATTTCTAGCAATGGTTTGCTGCTTATCACTGGCTCAAGAAGCAGTGTTCCAAAAATGTATGATGTTGAATTGCTTTTGAAAATTGGTGCAGGTCCATTCATAGTGCTGTTGCAAACAGAGACAACAACTTGTTATTCTGAGGTTTTACATTTCAAGAAAATGTTTCAATTTTGTATTGCCGTACCTCTGAAATCTAAATTCCAAATTTGAGATAACCTGATAATTTTGTGAGTTTCATTGTGCTATTCATGTATGTGTTAAATATTTCAGTGAAAAATGCTGTTGTAGAGTTTGGAGTTTTGTTTCTAGCTTTTCTCATTGTATTTTCTGTGCAGCAATAAGCTGTGGTAACCCTGGGGAGATTCTGAATGGAGATTATAAGATATCAAATGAGACAGTTGGAAATAAAGTGATTTTTTATTGTGCCTTTGGGTGAGTATTCAGTCAATAAATTAGTGAAAATGTTTCATTGAAAGTCCGTTATTTTAATGCCATTATTATGACAAATTCAGACTGCCATCTCTTGTGCATGACATTTCTGACAATGACTGAGCATGTGAAGTGTGATTGATATCTTTCAGTTTAGTGTTGAACTGAGAATTTTTAAAATAATTGCTGTGCTGACCAAAGTCAGTGATGTTAGAGCTTACATTGCAATACTAATGCACAGTTTAGAAATGCTGAATGTATTAATGATCCCTAGATCCATAATCTGAGATCAACACCAGACATCAGAGTATGTTGGTTTTTCAACTGTTTAAATTAAGTTGTAAAACAGCTGTAAAATGAGCTACAGGCATCACTATTTCTCCTGTGCACAACAGTTTATGTGGAGTCTGAGCAGTCCTATTTATTTAGCAAAGACACAACTGTTTTGATTATTTCCTTAATCTGCAGACCTAGTCGCATTTTTTTAAGATGTTTTGAAGTTTATTATGATTTAGATAGATCTAATTGTCTTTGGACCTTTTTACTCGAGTCAGTGAACAAATGTTGCCAAAGTGACCTCCACTTTATTGACACAGGTGGCTTGTTTCTCTTTTTTTAGGTACAAGATAGTGGGTAGAGCTTATCGGCAGTGTACAGCTGAGGGTTGGGATGGTGATGTCCCATCCTGTGAACGTAAGTTTTGTTTCCATGTTTTATAAAGAGACTGATTTGCTGATCAGTGCAATGTGATTGACCTGCTTCCAATGAATTGTTGCATAGTATTTGCGGAATCCAAGCTTTCTTCCCTTAGGTAGTTTGGCACCCTGTAGTTTGGAATTCTAATTTCCTGGCATGGGAGAAAACATCTATTCAATGCTTTAATTCACATTGCATATTAATGTACATCGTGTGTGAAATGAAAAATTACCATTCAGCAAATTAATCCTTCTCCTTCTGAAGACTTTATTCTTTTTCCCCTGCGCAAATGATGGTGTTGGATCAAGGAATTGAGTTTTGATGTGCAATGAGAAATTAGAAGCTGCTAATGTTAGTGGATCTCAAGCTGACAGGCAGTTGTAATAGAGTCATAGAGCTGTACAGCATGGAAATAGATGCTTTGGTCCAACCCTTCCATGCCGACCAGATATCCTAGATAAATCTAATTCCATTTGCCAGCATTTGGCCCATATCCCTCTAAACACTTCCTAATCTTATACCCATCTAGATGCCTTTTAACTGATATAATTGTACCAGCTTTCACCACTTCTTCTGGCAGCTCATTCCATACACGTACCACTCGTTGTGTGAGAAAGCTGCCCCTTTAGTTCCTTTTAAATCTTTCCCCTCTCACGTTAAACCTATGCCCTCTAGTTTTGGACTCCCTCATCGCAGGGAAAAGACCTTGGTTATCCACCCTATCCATGGCTGTTGTGATTTTATAAACTGCTATAAGGTCACCCCTCAGCCTCAGATGCTCCAGGGAAAATAGCCCTAGCCTATTCAGCCTCTCCCTAAAGCTCAAACCCTCCAATCCTGGCAACATCCTTATAAATCTTTTCTGAACACTTTCAAGTTTCACAACATCCTTCCTATAGCAAGGAGACCACAGTTGAATACAGTATTCCAAAAGTGGCCTAAACAATGTCCTGTATAGCTGCAACACTACCTGCCAACTCCTATACTCAGTATACTGACCAATAAAGGCAAGTATACTAAACGCCTTCTTCACTACCCTGTCTACCTGCGCTCCAACATCTCTTCGTTCAGCAACAATCCCCAGGACCTTACCATTAAGTGTATAAGTCCTGCCCTGATTTGCCTTTCCAAAATGCAGCCCCTCACATTTATCCAAATTAAACTGCATTTGCCACTCCTCAGCCTATTGGCCCATCGGATCAAGGCCCTGTTGGACTCTGAGGTAACCTCCTTTGCTGTCCGCTACACCTCCAATTTTGGTATTATCTGCAAACTTACCAAATATACCTCCTATGTTCACATCCAAATCATTGGGTTGGAGGGTTTGAGGATGAAAAGCAGTGGACTCAGCACCGATCCTTGTGGCACACAGCTGGTCAGTCTGAAAAGCAAACCTCTAGCACCACCCTCTATGCTCTTATCTGCAAGACAGTTCTGTATCCAATTGGCTAATTCTCTCTGTGTCCCATGTGATCTAACCTTGCTAACCAGTCTACCATGAGGAACTTTGTGGAACACCTACTGAAGTTCATATAGATCACGTCTACCGTTGTGCCCTCATCAATCCCCTTCATTACTTCTTCAAAAAACTCAATCAAGCTAATGAGGCACAATTTCTCATGCAAAACGCCATGTTGACTATCCCTAATCAGTCTTGCCTTCCCAAATACATGTAAACCCTGTCCCTCAGGATTCCCTCCAACAACTTGCCCACCACAGATGTCAGGCTTACCAGTCTATAGTCCCCTGGCTTTTCCTTACCACCTTTCTTAAATAGTGGCACCATGTTAGCCAACCACCAGTCTTATGTCACCTCACCTGTGGCTATTGATGATACAAATACTTGTTTGGACCTTGGGGAATTCAGGGGAAGCAAGTGGAAGCCAAAGACAAATTGTATTCAATTTTCCTAGTCTATTTTCTTTGTCATCCATTCTAGTTTAAATATCCTACTGTGACCTTACCCAACTGAATTAGTTGTCTTATTACTACCAATGGGAAAGTTGCATTAATTGATATTTGAGATAAAATAATACATTTTATGGTGACAACAAAAACAAAAATGGTGTACGGTTTGGTGGTTCTCGTGCTGAGGAAAAACAGGTAATGCTATGCAAGCGGAAGTAAGTGATCTTCGAGATGGGCAAGAATCTTTGAAGATATTTCCTCAGTTTTGTGATCCCATATCCTTGATATAATGGAGACTATTGAATTAACAGTTTTGAATATATTTGGTAATGTTGCACTAGTTTTCAGTGACTAATGGACATAGACACATGTAAAATTCTGCTTCTCCATGTTTCTTGTCTGACACCATTTAGTAAGTAAGTGAAGATTGATGCTGATCACTGCTAGAGCTATTGAAGCAAAGGGACCTGTTGTTCTGAGGCATTCTGGACTCAGCAGAAGTCCTGCAATTGTGTTCTAATTTTGAAGAGTGATGTACTAAATTAGAGTAACTAATGCACAGATAATAAGCATGAAGATGAATAGCTACAACAAAACTTGTTTTGTAGTTATTCATCTTCATGCTTGGTATCTGTGAATTGAAATGAAAGAAGCTATAGGAGATTTTGAAGGTTTGTTACATTTCTATCTGTTCTCATTTCTCATTGTGCAGCAATAACCTGTGGTAACCCTGGCGAGATATTGAATGGATATTATAATGCATCAAATAAGATAGTTGGAAGCAAAGTTACTTTTTACTGTGATGTTGGGTGAGTATTCTGTGTGTATATATTATTGATGGACTATATTATTTCAATGTTGTGTTGAAGATAATTTAGATGCCTGGCATCTGTTGTTCATCACATTTATGATCACATCTCTTCATTATCAGACAGTAAGCCTGATTCTTTCTTCGTGTGACTGACATAGTTTTGGAAAGAAATTTAAAATGTGATGTGACTTGGCAAACATTTGACACTAGAGTTTAATTTGGTAAAATGTTTGCCTTTTGACTACTTGTTTTTTTTTTAGAAAGCTTCTTGATATATTTTAATAGACTTTTTTTCTTGGGACCTTGAAATTCATGCCTGGTCAGCACACTGTAATACTTTGCAAATTTTCCAAATGATGTTTGATAATGGGTGATTTTGTTCTTCTAGATACACAATGCTGGGCAACAGTCATCGGAAATGTACAACTGAGGGTTGGGATGGTGAAGTTCCATCCTGTGAACGTAAGTTCTGTTCCATTCTTTAGTAAAGTGACAAACTGATCTTCTCTGTCAGATGACCGAGCCACACTCAGTACATTGTTGGGGCTTTGATTCAGTTCCATGTTTTCTTCCTTATATTTGTCCATTGTTGAGTTCTGTCATGGTGGAATAGGAAGACACAGCTGATGAATGATTTCATTAAACAGTGCATGTTAGAAAAAAAAACTTGTGTGATTTCAGAAACGGCCATTCATCAAATCAGTCTTCTATTGTTAGAAAATTTAATCGTCTGCCCTCATTGCAAATAATAATGTTGAAGCATAGAGCAGGATTTTGATGTAGGCTTTGTTGTTTGGGAGGACTTTAGAGTAACTGACAAGCACATAAATGGAAATTCAGGAAGTGAAAAACGACATGTAAAGTGCACACGATGTTAATGGTGTATAATGAAATTAGAATCATACTCCATTATCCTCCTTTTCCATTTCCACTAGTATCTGCATCTTATAGATTAAGTTGTGTTTGTTCAGCACATGTTTTTGATTAAGCCTGAGTGAAAGTAATAATTGTAGAGGAGTTGGCAAAAACAGAGATGTGGACTTTTGTGGTATTAGTGCTGAGATGGAGTAAAGAAAGCTATAGAAGTAAGAGTAAGTGGTTTTTGAGATTGCAAAGCTACCTAAAGTCATTCCCTCACTTTGGTGTTCTCTCATTTCCATCTTAGTTAATCACTGAGGATCAAATGTGACTTGCTTCCATTCTAGTTTGGTAGGTTCTAAGATAGTTATTAAGTTCAATGTGTGATTTGCAAATTCTGCCACATTTGGAGCAGGCGGTGTTTGGATGATTGGGTAGCTGAGTTATTGGGGAGTTGTGTACTTTCACAGAGGCCTCAACATTGCATCTGTGTGTTTCTGATGGAGACTTTCTACGTTTAGTGTTTATCCAAATGAATCTTCTCCATTTGTTGAGTCACAATATAGGGACACCCAAGAGCTGAGGTAATGTTGATCTCTTCTGAGATTTTTTGAGGACAATCTTAAAACATGTTTGTTGTCCACCTGAGAGACTCCTGCCATGAATGATTTTCAAGGAAACCAGTTGCTCCAGGAGTCTGGTATAAGAATGACATGTCCTGCCCAGCAATTGTGTGATTTCTAAGGTTTTGGAGTAGATTTGTAGCTCGGGTTGTGGGTGTTGAGGTTGGTTGGCTCGCCGAGCTGGTTTGTTGTTCCACAGACGTTTCGTTACCATGCTGGGTAACATCATCAGTGGAGCCTCCGATGAAGCATCGGTGTGTATTCCCGCCTGGTTTTTAAACTCTGGAGTCCTAGGAATAGCATTCCTAGAAGCCTGGCACTCCACGAAGAAAGCCATTAATAAACACACAGAACTCGACCCCATATACACTCTACTACGAAGGAAAACCGGAAGTGAGGCAATCCAGCTCAACGGTCTCCAGAGTTCAAAAACCAGGCGGGAAAACACACCGATGCTTCATCGGAGGCTGCATTGATGATGTTACCCAGCATGGTAATGAGACGTCTGCGGAACAACAAACCAGCTCGGCGAGCCAACCAAATTCAATTGTGTGATTATCACCTTGATATTGGGCAAGTTCTAACTCCCATAGAGTTTAATACTGCATTATGGTAACCATTTTGAAAAATTATGGAAATTGGATTCTAAAGTTCAAGTAATTTGCGACATTAAGTAATTGTGTCATTGCATAATATCTTTCACGTGCGATATGTAATTGCAATGACAGAACTGTTGAAGATGTTGGAGTTTTGTGAAATGTCTACCTTTTCCCTTTTCAATTTCTGTGTAGCAATAAACTGTGGTAACCCTGGTGAAATTCTGAATGGATATTACACAGCATCAAATGACACACTTGGAAATAAAGTGACCTTTTATTGTGATGTTGGGTGAGTATTTGCTCTGTGAATTGTTGAATAATTTTGCTGAAATGTTGCTATCATAATGTATAATCACACAATTATTTGTGATAATACTATTTTTCATTTGCATTTCTGATAAATGTTTTCCACATATGAGTCAGGCTTTCAATTCAATGCTGAGCAGGGTATTTGTTTTAAAAAGTCTTTATGCACATCAAGTTCAGGGATGTTACTGCATGGGTTTGAAATATCTATAGACACAACGTTAAATATGTTGGTGATGCCTAGACCCATATACTCAGATCAATACTGGATGACTTTATCTGTTGTATCCCTCAAAATGCTTACCTTGTATTGTAATTAGTGCCATGGTGAGCTGGCACATCATGTTCCTCCTGTAATTTGTATTTTAAATGAAGTCTGATCAGCATTGTTTTTAGCTATGGTGTAATACCATTTGATTACAGGTTCATTTTTCTGCTAAGCTATTCTCACATTGCCATTTGCTATCTAACATTTGTTGATAGGTGAATATAAGGTTATTCTCTGGACCATTAATTTCTTATCTGGTCTGCAAATTTACAATTTTCCAAATTACCATTCAGGACATGATACAAAGTGATTAATTCTCTTCTCTTTTTCCCTAGATACAAGATGGTGGGCAGAGATTATCGACAATGTACAGCTGAGGGATGGCTTGGGGATGTTCCATCCTGTGAACGTAAGTTAGATTTCCCTGTTTTGTAAAGTGGCATTCTTGTCTGTACCAATTGATTGAGCTGCTGTCAATGAATTATCCTGTAATGTTGGTTGACATCCAAGTTTCTTCTCTCCAGCATTCTGCCATCCTCTGTCTTGCACTTGTTCCATTTTCAGTGACCCTTGCCCTGATCCTATCTCCTGTGTTTGCCAAGCAGCAGCAGGACTTGAAACATTAATATCAGCAGTCACCATTCATACTGACATGAGGTGCCAGTAGTGTAGCTAGCAATGGAGAGCCACCTCTGGCTTTGACAGCATGAAAGGCCTACATTGACAACCACTGGCCTTAAATCAAACTGGGCTTTCTGCATATGGATGTGACGTGGGGTTCCCTTTGGTTCATCCAATGTTGTTGAGGACCTCTTTCCTAGGAGTAAATCTGACCATGTTGTTTTTGGATTTCTTGTCACAATTCATGATGTTCAGTACCGAGACCGGTTTCAGTGAAGAATAGGGGATTTAGAGAAAATCTTGCATTTCAAATGCCATAATTTTGGAAAATGAATTCCAAATTTACAGAATCATCATTCTCTGCAATTGTGTACTATTACATCTTCATGAAAAATATCTATTAATGACAATGAAACATTGTTAGGGGCTTTGGGTTCTTGTAAGATATCTACCTTTTCACATTTTATTTCCTTTATAGCAATAAACTGTGGCAACCCTGGTTCAATTCCGAATGGATATTATAAAGCACCAAATTGGACAGTTGGAAGTAATGTTACCTTTTATTGTGACATTGGGTGAGTATTCAAAATATAAATGATAGAATAATTTCAATTATGGACTCCATTACTTTAATGTTGTGATCTTATATTTCAAATGATCACACCTTCATCATTTTTCTGATGAAATCTTTTCATGTTAACAGTGAGGGAAGCTTTCATTTATAGTACTATTCAACCAGCGATTGAGAAAAACAGATCATTATACTGACATAGGCACAGGACAGTAGTTGTGCAAGGACGGAACAGTTCATTTGACAGAATCCATAATCTGAGGTCAAAAGTGGTGTTTATGTCTGCTGGATCTTCAAAAGTTTTAAATTATATCAGATGTCAATGCAAAAGTGAGCTTTATTCCCTAATGTTTCTCCTGTGCCCTGTACTTGATATTGTGTCCAATGAGCAATTTTAGTTTAAGGTACACTGTAACAGCATTTCATTCATTTTGAATATTCTGCAATTGCTTTTATATTATTTTCATAATTAGTTTGTTTAATAAATTTTTCCTCTGTGAAACTTGGATTTTTTTTTTACCTTGTCAGCGCACTGGCACACTTTTTCAGTGAACCTTCATGTCTGTTTCTACGTAGGTACAAAATCATTGGCAGAGAATATCGACAATGTACAGCTGAGGGTTGGGATGGCGAGGTTCCATCATGTGAACGTACGTGATATTTCTCTGTTTTTTGAAGTAACTGACCTGCGTGTCTGTAAACATGATTGAGCCACTTTCAATGAATTATTGTATCCTGTTGGTGTACAGGCAAGTTTTGGATCCAGCAGAGATCCCTAGACTGGGTCATTGAATATCAATGGCATCAGCCCCTATTACACCTGGTGATGGGCTGACAATGGAACATTGCCAACCTATGTCGTGCGTGGATGGTTTGTTAACATTTTGATTTAGGATTGCTGATGATGACTGATGCATGTCGATGTATAGTTGTTTTGTAGACAGACAGTACCTTCTATATTGTGAGGTTTAGCAGATTAAGAGAAAGTCTTGCCTTTGTGTTGCTAGAATAATGAAAATTGAATTCTTGATTATGTGGGCAATTTAATTGTATTTATCTTCATGTTGTGTATTACATGAAAGAAATTCTTGGAGTTTTTTGTCTTTTGTAACATTTCTATCTCCTCATTGTAATTTCTGCAGCAATAACCTGTGGTCACCCTGGACATATTCTGAATGGGCATTATGAGTCTCTAAATGAGACAGATGCAAATAAAGTTATTTTTTATTGTGACTTTGGGTGAGTATTCAGTAAATAAATTACTGAACAGATTTTGATGATGGACAGTGTTTTTTCAATGCTGTGATTAAGACAACTTCAGACAGCCATTTCTCATGCATGATATTTCTGACGATGGCTCTGGATGAGAGCTCTGATTGACTACTCTAGTATAGTATTGAACAGATTAACCTCAAAAGAAGTCTAGATACTTCTGATGTTTCAATGTTGTTGCTGCATTGCTGTATTAATGCAAAGATGTAAATGCTGAATATATTAAGTCAGAAGTCACATGAGACCAGGTTAGAGTCCAACAGGTTGATTTGAAATCACAAGCTTTCAGAATGGACTTCACCTGATGAAGGAGCACCGCTCCAAAAGCTTGTGATTCCAAATAAACCTGTTGGACCATAACCTGGTGTCGTGTAACTTCTGACTTAGTCCACCCCAGTCCAACACCAGTATGTCCACACCCTGAATATATTGATGATCCCTATTAATCTGAGATTAGCACTGGAAATTTGTGCCTTCTAATTCGTCGTAAGTGTTGACCTTTGTCGTGTAAATCAAGTCTAAGGAGGGATAGAAACATGAATATAATTTATATCTGGCCAGAGCACCGATTTCTTTTATCCTTTTTTATTAAATATTTCATGAATCTGCAGACCTAGTCCTATGTTTTATATTTTATGAAGTTATTGCTACTTTGACGGACTAATTTTCCTTTGATCATTTGGATTTCTAATCTGGTCAGAGTACTAGCACTGTCGAAGGAACCTGAAAGTTAGTAGTACAAATGGTTTATTTCTTATTTTCTAGATACAAGATGGTGGGTAGAGCTTATCAACAATGTACAGCTGGGGGATGGGATGGTGATGTCCCATCCTGTGAACGTAAGTTATGTTTCACTGTTTTGTGAAGTGACTGATTTGCTGTTCAATGTCAAACGATTAGTTGACTTCACTTCATTGCCCTCCGGTGTTGGTTGAGACACAAGTTGTCTTCCCGACAATATTTTGACATTGTCCAGCTTGGAATTTTGATTTCTTGTATTGGGAGGAAACATGTATTGAATGCTTTAATCAACATTGCATTTTAAAGGAACACAGTATGTAAAATGAGAAATGGCCTTTCATTAAATCAATCATGCTCTGTCCAGAGAATTTTACTCACCCACCCGAATTCAATTAGTAGTATTGGAACAAGGAGATGGGTTTTGATGATGGATGAGATCCATTTGAGTTCGTAATATTGCTGGAGCTTGAATTGATATCAAGTGATACTTATGTCGTGGGAGATCCATGGGAAAGAAGTAGAAGATAAAAGAAAAAGTCAAGTTGATGTTAATAATCTATATTTTAATAATTCCCCAAATCCCTTCTCTTCCTCTTCCATTCTCACTTAACAATGCTAATACGTGGGCAGCACAATGGCTCAGTGGTTAGCATTGCTGCCTCACAGTGCCAGGGACCCAAGATCGATTCGGCCGTCAGTCTACTGTCTGTGTGGAGTTTGCACATTCTCCCCATGTCTCTGTGGGTTTCTGTCGGGTGCTTTAGTTTCCTCCCACAGTCCAAAGATGTGCAGGTTAGGTGGATTGGCTATGCTAAATAGTCCATAGTGTCCAGGGATGTGTAGGTTCAGTGTGTTAGCAATGCGCGATGCAGGGATAAGGTAGAGGCATGAGTCTTGGTGGGATGCTGTTCAGAGGGTCAGTGTGGACTTATTGGGCTGAATGGCCTGCTTCCACACTCTGGGGATTCTGTGAATTCCATGTTCGTGCCTGGCAGATTTAGTTGTGTTAGTGTTCTGATATTGTTGCTTTAGTTGATGCTTGAGTGAAAGAAATAGATGTTGATGAAGTGACAAAAATGGTGAATGATTGTAGTCATTGGTGCTGAGGGAAAACAGATAATGCTGTGGAAATGCGTATCCATGATCTTCCAGGTGAATAAGAGAGATACGAGTCTGAATCACACTTCAAAAAATGAGAGAGAGAAAACAGTGAACTGTGAGCCAGTTAGTCTCATATGTGTCATTGGGAAAATGCTATAAATTTTCAGAACTCAGAATTTAAGAATTTTTAAGAAAATTTCAACAATGCACTTAGCTATAATAATGATCAAAACATGTCAACATGGTTTTCAAGAAGGAAATCCTGTATGGCAAATCTATTAGTGTTCATTGATAGTGTAATTATTGGGGTAGGTACTGAACTGCCAGTCAATAATGGATATGTGGATTTTCAAAAGGTATTTGTTAGCGAGCCAGGCGTAAGGTTCATAAGCAAGATAATGGCTCACGGAGCTGTTTCTCCCTCAAAACAATTTCTCACAGACTTGTCAATTGAGGTCCCAGATATTCAGATGACATTAATCATTGGAGCAACATGCACTGGACTTGCAAAGTGGGAACATGGGGAATCCCAGAGTCTGCTGACTCCGTGGAATTTACCCTGAAATTGAATTTTCGATGGGCAAATCTCTTGCATCTGGAAGCCTGTAAAAGAATGCATTCTTGTCATAGAATTCTGAGAACGCTGCCTTAACTAAACATAATCACTATCCAGGAGAACTGAGGATTAAAATCCAAGTCTACTGCCTGAATAACTAATCATCTAAACCCCAGAACTTGACACTGACACCCCAAACTATAGTCCTCTGCCCCGTATGCTGACAACACCATCAGGACTCCTGACAACCGGTCCATGTCTGGACAGGACCTCCACCCTCACCTCAGCCTGACCTTGTCAGACATGGCATCCTGGAGCCAACACTGCACACACTGCTTCCATTGAATAACATGACCTCTTTTGAACTAATCAGCTGGACTCCTGCCCTCCGTCCAAAGGCCCCTCCTCCAACAACCTGAGACCGCCACTCTACCCCATACCAACAAGCACGAGTGCTGGCCTGATGCCTCTGGAAGATAACAAGAACTGCAGATGCTGGAGTCAGTGTCAATAGTGTGGAGCTGGAGGAACACAGCAGGTCAGGCAGCTTTAGAGGAGTAGGACTGATGAAAAGTCTAGGCCCAAAATATTAACTCTCCTGCTCCTCTGATGCTGTCTGATCTGCTGTGTTCCTCCAGCTCCACACTGTATTGGGCCTGATGCCTCTCCCCAGACCAGACAAACATCTACCAATGGCTCGAACCCGACACCCTACGTGGGATCTGACACCCCTGAAGGGGCCATGTTGGTGAGGCAGGGTTGTTCACTGTCGAGATGCTGTGGTTAGGTGAGCTTCACATTGACCAATGAAATGCCAGCAGTAGGATAATGAATTATCACACACAATGTTCAGACTTTTAAACGTTATGGAATATGCTATCTACTGCCGTGATAAGGGTGCACAGAGCAGAGCTCAAATGTCTTTTATTTTCAGATTTTGTTTGTAAAGCGACTCTTAAATATCTTTGGTCCTCCCTGGCTGCTAGTCCCAAACATTTAATTAGTAGATAGATACCTGACATTGGCTGGAATTTAATGGATCCCACCAGAGTGTGGAGATGGGTGTGGACATTATACCCACATCTTCTCCAGTGATCCCTCCCTACTCCAGACACCTGCGCTCTTCGATCCAGCATAGATCCTCAGTCTGGCAGATGGAGTTCAATCCAGGCAAATGCGAGGTGATGCATTTTGTAAGATCCAATTCAAGAGTGAACTCTACAGTAAATGGAAAAGCCCTGGGGAAAATTGATACAGAGAGAGATCTGGGTGTTCAGGTCCATTGTACCCTGAAGGTGGCAACGCAGGTTGATAGAGTGGTCAAGAAGGCGTACGGCATGCTTTCATTCATCGGACGGGGTATTAAGTACAAGGGTTGGCAGGTCATGTTACAGTTGTATAGGACTTTGGTTCGACCACATTTTGAATACTGCGTACAGTTCTGGTCGCCACATTACCAAAAGGATGTGGATGCTTTGGAGAGGGCGCAGAGGAGGTTCACCAGGATGTTGCCTGGTATGGAGGGCACTAGCTATGAAGAGAGGTTGAGTAGATTAGGATTATTTACATTAGAAAGTCGGAGGTTGAGGAGGGACCTGATTGACGTCTACAAAATCATGAGAGGTATAGACAGGGTGGATAGCAAGAAGCTTTTTCCACAGAGTGGGGGACTCAATTACTAGGGGTCACGATTTCAAGGTGAGAGGGGAAAAGTTTAAGGGAGATATGCGTGGAAAGTTCTTTACGCAGAGGGTGGTGGGTGCCTGGAACGCATTGCCAGCAGAGGTGGTAGAGGCAGGCACGATAGCGTCATTTAAGATGTATCTAGACAGATACATGAATGGGCAGGGAGCAGAGGGATATAGATCCTTGGAAAATAGGTGACAGGTTTAGATAGAGGATCTGGATCGGCACCGAAGGGCCTGTTCCTGTCCTGTAATTTTCTTTGTTCTTTGTTCTTTGGTTCTGGGCATTGGTACATACAATGGAGAAGCCACTGTTCCTGGTAGAGTTGCTAACAATGGAAATCTTCTACCCTCAGATTGTCTGTCATCTCGTGGGGAGGGAATCTCCCACACCTGAGGTTTTGGTTACATGGAAGGCCCAAGTTGGCCAAGGTACAGTTATATCAAATGGGGCCTTCTCCATGGAAGTGATGAGGGATTCTCACCAGTTCACCAACTGATGTTGAGGTTGAGGTTGAAATCAGTCCACTATGTCCTTGAATTGCTGTTGAGGATTGTTGTTGGGCAATATCGTGCTGAGTTGGTGAGACAGATTATTTATGCACAAATGGAGATTGGAGATTGATTAAATTGGAGATCAAACTTCAAATTTGACATGACTTGATCTGTACAATTGTGGAATAGTATATTTCATCTTCAAATTAAAGCTCTGTGAATTGCAATGAAAAAGATCTGATGGGTAATTTGGAATTTTCTGATATTTCTGTCTTGCTCATTTTATTTTCTGTACAGCAATTGACTGTGGAAATCCTGGTTCAATTCTGAATGGATATTATAAAGCATCAAAATGGACAGTTGGAAATAATGTTACCTTTTATTGTGACATTGGGTAAGTCTTCAGTATGTAACTCACTGAATATTTTTAGTGAAGCACTAGATTATTGTAATGTAATGATTAAAGGCTTTCTCTCAGAAGTCTACCCTGATGGTGGCTTCGGTTTTGTAGGGAAATTTGCTGGCTCAGAAGCGAATAAGCTCAGAGCCACTAAGAAACCGTTTTACATTTGTTTAATTGTGTCAAAAGAAGAGGACATCATCCAAAATGAAGCTATTGCACGGGGGAAAAAAGACACTTTAAATCAGATAAAAGGGAACAAGGCTAAATCAACTGTAAAGAAAAACTGGCAAATGAGACTGGATACAATGATTGCAGCAACAATAAAATGTAAACATCTTGAATGAGTGGGGCAGTGATAGGCCCACAGTGGGGACTTGATGGGTCATGGAGGCAAGGTCCCTGGCGCGGTTCAAAGCCGAAGTGCCAGTGCTGAAGGACTGGCATGCTGGACATTTTTTTTTTTCTTTATTTTTCTAACTTATGCCTAACATATTTTGTAGCTCAGTACCTAAGGTGAACTGTAATCGAAGTACTGTATTGCTGAACTTTTTATTTCTTTATTTTTCTCATTTATTCCTTAAATCCTGTACCTAGGTCCCTTTGTACCTAAAATGGTGCTGTAAGTGGCGACTTTATAAACTTTTCACTGCACTCCTGTGATTACATGTAACAATAAACCTAATTCTAATTTTCTAAGGCGATGTTGGATGACCACACATTCATTCCATTTCTCATTGGAAGCTCTTCATATTGACTTTGTGTTAGGCTTCCATTCTAGCGTTCATCCATTGAGTTAAACAAAACTCTTGGTAATAATCAAGATGGAGAATGTTAATGTTGTAACAGGGATATTGATGCAAAAATAGAACTGTTAAATGTGCTATCGGTAGGAAGATCCATGAGCTGGGATATCTCTTGGCGCTGTTTGCACTAAATGTCTAACTTCTATTTGAAGTCAGAATGATGGCAAATTCTATGTGCCAATGTTTTGTATGTGCACTGTCCAATTATGAGATGTTTTTAAAACTGAAATGCAACAGCATTTGTCGACTATTTAATTGTTCTGTTACCCTAATGCAATGTTTGATTTATTTTTCTTTGTTGATGGTTGAATAGATTTTTGCTTTATGAATCTCAGGACTCCCACATGTTTTGCCCAGTTACATGGAAGCTCCACGTTGGCCAAAGGGCACTTATATGGGAAGCGATGGTCTAGTGGTATTATTGTTGGACGTTTAATCCAAAGATGCATGTAATGTTCTGGGGATCTGAGTTCAAATCCCGCCATGGTAGATGGTGGAATTTGTATTCAATTAAAAAATCTGGAATTTAGAGTCTAACGCTGACCTTGAGTCCATTGATTGATGCGTAAAACCCATCTGGTTCACTACTGTCCTTGTAGGGAAGGAAACTGCCGTACTTACTTCATCTCGTTCAAATGTGAATCCAGACTCTCAGCAATGTGATTGATTCTTAACTGCCCTCTCAGCAATTAGGCATGGTCAGGAAATGATAGCCTCATCAGTGATGCCCTCATCCTGTAAATGAATAAAAAACAGTATCAAATTGGGGCTTCTTCATGGAAGAGATCAGGGACTCCCATTGGTTCACCAACTAATGTTTGGGATTCCGTTGACAGAATGAAATCAGTCCATTGTGTTCTTGGAGTGCTATTTTTTCAACTAATTTTAAGTCTGATAAGAAGAGGCTTACCATTCATTTTTTAGATACAAAATTATCGGCAGAGATTATCAACAATGTACAGTTGACGGCTGGGATGGCGAGGTTCCATCCTGTGAACGTAAGTTATATTTCCCTTTTTTGTAAAGTGCCTGGCTTGCATGTGAGTCATCATACCCAGTGTCCAAATTTTCTTCCTTGCAGCAGTTTGACATCCTCTCACTTAGAATTATTTCTTTGAATAAGAGAAAAACCTCATTCGTTGCTTTTTGATTCATATTGCACATGAAAAGAACTTTGCAGGTATAATAAGGAATGACCAATCAAATCATTCCTACTCCATCCAGAAAAATATAACTATTCTACCCAAGCATCCTGCTGATTTGGAGCAAACAGCTTAGTTTCAGTGGGTAATGCTAATTTAGGGATGCTCATTATAGTCACACTTTGGAATTAGCAACTTGGGCCTGTGGAAATTTAAAGGTATAGGAAATGATATAATCCACGTTAATTATGCTGGATTAAATATGCAGAAGGCAAGGGTCTGAATTGTCACTCTCTTGTCTGCTGTCAGATGAGTCTGTGGATTTTTGTTGCCTGTGTCTGAGGAGAGCAGGGAGTGCTATCAGCCAGTCTCAGGGATTATCAATGGTGGCTTTTGGGGATGTCATTGGTCTGTCACATGGAGTGCTTTCTATTGTGGTGTAAAGAACAAAGTAGAAGGTTTATAGGGTTGTGGGGTGAACCACTTGTGAAGTTATCCCCGAGCCCATCAGGAGATTCTGAAGAAGAGTCATTGCACCTAAAATACTAACTCTGATTTTTCTCCACAGATACTGCCATGCCTCCTGAGGTTTTCCAGCAATTTCTGATTTGGTTTACCATCAATTATTAGTTGAGCCTCAGAGATTGAATGGGATGTGTGTGGCTCTTGCTTAACTTCTGAAGGTAGCCAAGCTAATATTGCACCTTGTTGTGATGTTCCCTCATTGTCAGTCACTCAGCACCCAAGCATGGGATCCAGTGTAAGGAAGGGTGGGGCCCTTCCTTGTGACTTACTGAACACAATACTCTGGTGACTGAGTCCACATATCCCCCATCCCAAACCCCATTCACATTATTGGTGTCTGAAATAACTGAAAGGAGGCCGATATCCCAAAACCAAGTCATCCTTTATTTTAGGTATGCATAGTAGGCTGGCTGTGGCCAGCCAGCTCAGAGTCAGTCCCCAGACTAGAGGAAATTCTAATCTCCTGGTTATATTAGTCAACCAGGGCTTTCTTGATTGATTTGGATTGTTAACCTAGATCAGTGATCTCAGTCAGTGAGGTCAACCTGGTTCCAGTCACTGCATCATGCACTAGCTTCCCCAGGCATCCACACCCTACACCCCCCACCCAAGTCCAGGCGAGTAAAAAACAGGCCTGGCCTTTGGCTTATAGCTTTTTTTGCTATGTTTTTGCCCCAAGTCTGGTTCCTCTGATTTGGACTCTGACATGGGCACTGTGGACCAGACCGTAGCCAGCCTCTTGTGTCCAGAATGCCTGGGGAGTTTCCTCTGCTTCTAATGGTAATGCTATCAAGGCTGCCTCCATCTTGGAGGCTTGTGCGACACTAGACAGAGAGGGAGAACCTGTGTTTTCCATCCAGCCTTCTGGCTGTTCTGAGGAGCCAGGTATGTTTTGCTCCTGCCCTGTTTGAGGGGTTCCAGCTTTCAGGTGATCCACATGTTTGTTCAGGACTGTATCACCTACATGAACTTCATAAGTCATGGGTCCTTACCTTGCATCATACCCATACAGGTCCATTTCCATGATTCTGGCATCAAACTTTGTCCCCTCAATTAAATTGAGTCGCTTGTTTAGATTCAATGTGGCCGGCATTGGTGTTCTTGCTGCCATTTCACCGCTCCCCCAGGCCTGGAAATATCAGGTTTAGTCTAGGGCAGAGTCTTCTCCCTATTAGGAACCCTGTTGGGTGGTCCTATAATCAAACAGGAACCAGGACAGTTTGGTATCAATTGATGCTGTAGGGGGCTTCTTTAAGCCTGCCTTTAATGTTTGGACCACTGTTTCCACTAGACCATTGGATGACAGATGGTATGGAGCTGCCCTAATGTGTTGAATACCATTTGACTTCAGGAATATTCAAATTCCCTGCTGGTAAATGACAGATTGTCAAAGACCAATACTTTCAGGTGTGCACGTATCACAAATGCTTGCAGCTTCTCAATTGTCATCCCCGAGTTTGCTGAATGAACTTGATACATGTCCAACTGCTTTGAATCAGCATCCAGTGAAGTATCTGTCAGTGGGAAGCTGCTCAGGGCATCTGCATTAGCTACTTGGCTTCCTGGATGGTGTTCTAACTTGTATGCACTGAGAATAAGGGCCCAAAGCTGAAATCTACTGGAAGCCATGGGCAGCACTGCCTGGTCTTCTTTCAGTAGCCATAGCAGGGATTTGTGATCTGATACTATGACAAATTCATGTCCATAAAGGTACTTGTTCACCCCAAAGATGACAGCCAAACTTTCCTTCTCTATCTGGGCATATTTGGTTTTGGCATCAGCCAAAGTCCAAGAAGTGTACGCTATCGTGTATCCTTCTCCATTGGGCCATCAGTGAGCCAACACTACCCCAAGATCATATGGGGAGGCATCACATCTCCACACTACTTGTCTTTTGATCCTACACCTCATATGGTGATAACAGCTTTTTCCACTTTCCCAAAGGCTGCTTCTTGGCTACGCAACCATTTCTAAGGCTGACCCTTTTTCAATAGCAGGCATAAGGGCACTAACATGGAAGCCAGGTTACATATGAATTTTCTGTAATAATTCATTAACCCAAGGAAAGACCTAGGTTCCAGTACAGATATGGGAGCCAGGGCACTTTTGATTTCCCTCACTTTCTCTTCCAATGGGTGTAAATGGGTTTTGTTGACTCTGTAACCCAAGTAGATCACTTGGGGGGCCTAGGAGACACATTTTGTCCCTTCCAAGGCACCTGGGAGAAATGTTTAAGCACCATGTCCAAGTCCAAGTGCTCTTTATTCATCTTCCTGGTTATTAGCAGGTCATCCAGATAAATGGCAACCTGGGGTAACCCTTGTAAAGTGTTCTCCACAGCCCACTGGAAGAGGGCAGTCTTACGATGCCCCAAATTGCAGTCTTGTATGTTTATATAAACCCTTAATGGGTATTAATTGTAGCAGTAACTGCACCAACTGCTTCTCATAGGAGACCAGAACTGAAGTTGTACCCTTGATATGCAATGGTTCCCCAGTGTCTGTTCTCAGTCTAGGTGAGGCCTTGTGCCAACTTAAGGGTTGGAGTCCCAAGTGAATCTTGTGAAAGACCAATTCTGCAACCACAGATACAGCTGTGGTAGTATTGACCTCCATGGGAACTGGATGACCATTAATTTTAATCAGTACTGGTTTGGATATCACTAAGCAATTGTTCCAACCCACATGTAGGGGAACTTTCCAGGGTGTGCACTCTCCTGGGTACCAGTCTACAAGTTCTCTTATTCAGGTCAGGCCTTATAGGACTCCTTTGCTGTCTTGAGTCTGCATATTAGCAGCAACTACAGTGGCTTGCTGGTCCAGATCCTGAAGAAATTTTAAGCCTCATGGCCAAGGTTCAGCTTTGTTGTAGGGTTTTGCTGTGGGCTGGCTGAGGGTCCTTCTGCTCAGGATATACCCAGCATGATCTGAGATTGCCTTCACCAAGCTCAGACAGAGAGGTGAGGGAGTCCACTTCCACTGGGACACCCTCTAACTTCCATGCTCCATTTGGTGCACTTTCTAATGAAAATACCAGCTGCAGCACTTGTTTGAAGACCTGTTGCACTTCAGCTATTAGGTGCTTCTGCATGGTTACATCACTAATCCCTCATACCAAGCAGTCTCTCAGCATCTCATTGTGTTAATCCAAAATCACATGGCTCTGTCAATCATCTCAATCTCAACAAAAATCCCAATATGGATTCCCCCAGTTCTCTAAAAGCCAAATAAAGCTAACAGCATCTCAGAATGAGAGGAGAATTGGGGTCATAATATTCCTTAACCAGCTGCATCAACTCTTGGAAGGTTTTAATGTCTAGTGCCACTAGGAAAGTTAAGCCAAGCCCCTTATAACCAAGAATGCTGTGTGTCTGCCCCACATTGTTTTTCATCTGCCCCAATGTCATTTGCCCAGAAAAAATATCACATTCTTTCCACATATTGGGCCCAGTCTTCAACATCAGGATCAAATGAGTCAAGCTTCCTAAATAAAGGCATGATGCTAGAAATGCTTACCCCAACTCCAAGATGACTGTAGCAAGCAAACATCCTGCACACACATCCCTATTTTCTCTCATCACCACTGAAATAACTTGAAATAAATTAACCTATGTACAGTACACTGGCTGCAACCAACCAGCTCAGAGTCAGTTACCTGGACTGAGGACATGCTCATCTCCTGGTTATATTAGTCAGCCAGGGCTTTCCTGATTGGCCCAGGTTAACAATTCCAATCATTGGCCTCAAGTGAACAAAGTCAATCACTGGTCCCAATCACTATAGTGCTATAGGATTCGGTGGAGATCTTTTACTTTGGCCTGGAGCTTAAATGGCAGCAGCCATGAATCACAAGGTTACTTCCAGCAATAGTGTGCTGCTTAGCGCTGGCTCAGGAAGGTGGATACTAAACATGTATGATGCTGAAGATTGCTACAGGTCCGTTCATAGTACTGTTGCAAACAACAGCAGCTTGTTATTCTGGGGTTTTACAGTTCAAGAAAAATGTCTTGATTTTGTATTGCCATATCTCTGAAAATTGAATTCCAAATTTGAGATAACCTGATAATGTTGTCAATTTCATTGCGCTATTCATGTTTGTGTTAAACATTTCAGTGCAAAATGCTGTTGTACAGTTTGGAGTTTTGTTTTTAGCTTTTAGCATTGTATTTTCTGTTCAGAAATGACCTGTGGTAACCCTGGGGAGATTCTGAATGGACATTATACGACTTCACATGAGACAGTTGGAAATAAAGTGTTTTTTTATTGTGACTTTGGGTGAGTATTCAGTCAATAAATTACTGAGAAGATTTTGGTGAAAGTCTATTGTCCTAATATATTTTTCATAACCATACAGACTGACATCCCTTATGCGTGATGATTTCTGACTGGCTGAGCATGCGAGTTGTGATTGGATCTTCCAGATTAGTGTGGCACTGAGAATTTTCAAAATAATTGCTATACTAAAAATCAGTGATGTTAAAACTTACATTGGAATATTAATGGGTAGTTGGAAATGTGGAATGTGGTAATGATTCCTACACCTGTAATCTGAGACCAACACAGGACATCAGAGTCAGCTTGTTCCTTAACTGTTTAGATTATATTGGGTAAATCAGCATCAAAGTGCATCAGATGTATCAATATTGTCCTTTGCACTGTAGTTCCTATAGAGCCTGACGAGCCCTTTCTATTTTATAAACATACAACTGTATTTGTTTCTTTCATTAATATGCAGACCTAGTCCAATTTTTTAAGATGTTTTGAAGTTTAGTGAAATTTAGATTATTTCTCTTTGGACCTTTTAATCTAGTCCATGAAAGAATATCTTCCAAGTGATCTCCAGTTTATTGATACAGGTATTTGATTCTCTTTTTGTAGATACAAGATAGTGGGTAGAGATTATCGACAATGTACAGCTGAGGGTTGGGATGGTGATGTCCCATCCTGTGAACGTAAGTTATGTTTCTTTTTTTTTTAAAGTGACTGATTTGCTGTTCAGTGCAAAATAATTGACTTGCTTCCAATGAATTGTTGTGTAGTCTTGGTTGGCATCCAAGCTTTCTTTCCTTCAGTCATTTGACATCCTGTAGATTGGAATTCTGATTTCCTGGCATGGGAGTAAACATCAACTCAAAGCTTTATTCAACTTGCTAATTAAAGTACATAATGTGCGAAATGGAAAATGACCATTCGGCAAATCAATCCTGCTCCATCTGAAGATTTCAGTCTTTTGCTCTACTCAGATGGTCTTGTTGAGTTTTGGTGTGCAACGAGAAGTTAGAAGCTGGTCACGTTAGTGGAAATTAAGGTGATAGACAACAGTTGTTTGGACCTTGAGGGAAGTAAGTGGAAGCCAAAGGCAAAGTGTAATCAATTCTCCTATTCTGCTCTCTTTTTCTTACATTCTTGTTTAGAGATCCTACAAGACTTTACCCCACTGAATTAGTGGCCAAACTGCTACCAATGGTAAAGTTGTGTTCATTGATATTTGAGTGAAAATAATAGACTTTATTGAGGCAACAAAAAGAAAAATGGTGTAAGTGGTGCTGAGGGAAAACAGCTAACACTATGGAAGTCGTAGTAAGTGATCTTTGAGTTGGACCAGAATCTTTGAAGATTTTTGTGATCCCATCCCCTTGAAATGATTGAGATGATTCAATTAACAACATTTTTGAATGTACTTTGTAATGTTGCACTAGTTTTCAGTGACTAATGTTCATAAACACATATATACCTCTGTTTCTCCATATCACCTTGACTGTCACCATTTATAAGTAAGTGAAGATTGATGCTGGTCAATACATAGAGCTGTTGAAACAAAGGGACCTGTTGTCCTGAGGGATTGTGGACTTAATGGAAGTCCTCCAGTTGTGTTTTAATTTTGAAAATTACTCTGCTAAATTAGAGTAACTTGGCATTACTGACAGATTTTGTTGGAGTTATTCATCTTCATACTTAGTATCTGTAAATTGCAAGAAAGAAGCTGTAGGAGATTTTGAAGGTTTGTTACATTTCTATCTGTTCTTATTTCTCATTGTGCAGCAATAACCTGTGGTAACCCTGGCGAGATATTGAATGGATATTATAATGCACCAAATAAGACAGTTGGAAGCAGAGTTACTTTTTATTGTGATGTTGGGTGAGTATTCAGTATATAAATTATTGATGTTCCGATGAAGACCATTTGGATTTCTTTCATCCCTTGTTGTTCACATTTCTGAACACATCTCTTCTTCTTATAACAGAGTAACCATGATTCTTTCATTATTTGATTAACTTAGTTTCACAAAGGAATGTAAAATGTGATGTGACTTAGCAAACATTTGATGACAGCATGTAATTTGGTAAAATGTTTGCATTTTGATTTGCTTGATTTTTTAAAAACAGTTTCTTGGTACTTTAATAGCAATTCATGCCTGGTCAGAACACTATAATATTTTGCTAATTGTCCTGAAGATATTTGATAACAGATGATTTTCATTTACTAGATACAGAATGTTGGGTCATCATTATCGGAAATGTACACCTGAGGGTTGGGATGGTGAAGTTCCATCCTGTGAATGTAAGTTCTGTTTCATTCTTTAATAAAGTTACAAGCTGATCTTCCCTGCCAAATGATAGGGCCACTCTCAGTACATTTTGGAGCTGCAATTCAATTTGACATTTTCTTGCTTTTTTTTTGTTGCAGAATTTAATTGTATACCCTCATGCAAACATTAGTATTGTAGCATTGGATGGGATTTTGATGTGTGTTTTGTTGTTTAGGACGACTTGAAAGTAACTGACAAACACACAACTGGAAATTCAGGAAGTGAAAATGATGTAAAGGAAAAGTGCAGATAATATTAATGGTGTATAATGAAATTAGATTCATACTCTATTATCTTCTTTTTCCATTTCCATCTTGTGCTGCAACAAGAATAGTGTCAGCATGTTTTGGAATTAATTGTGTTAGCATCTTTTGGACTTAGTTGATTAAGCCTGAGTGAAAGTAACAATTTAAGAGGAGTTGGCAAAAACGCAGATGGACTTTTGTGGTATTGATGCTGAGGTGGAGCAAAGAATACTATGGAAGCAAAAGTACGTGGTCTTTGAGATGGCAAAGGTACCTAAAGTCACTCCGTTACTTTGGTGTTCTGTCATTTCCCTCTTAGTTAGTCACTGAGGATCACGTGTGACTTGCTTCCATTCTCTTTCGGTGGTTTTGAGATTGTTATTAGATCCAATGTGTGATTTGCGAACTCTGCCACATTTGGAGCAGGTGGTGTTTGAACAGTCAGGTAAATGAGTTATTGGGGTAGTTGTGTACTTTTACAATCGCCTCAACATTGCCTCTGTGTTCTCCTGTCAGAGACTTTCTATGTTCAATGTTTACCTGAATGAATCTTCTCCATTTATTGAGTCACAATCTAAGGACACCCAAGAGTTGAGATAATGTTGATCTCTTCTGAGATTTTTTGAGGACAATCTTAAAACATATTTGTTGTTCACCTGAGAGACTCCTGTCATGAATGATTTTCAAGGAGAGCAGTTGCTTCAGGAGTCTGGTATAAGAATGACATGTCCTGCCCAGCAATTGTGTGAATATCACCTTGATATTGGGCAAGTTCTAACTCCCATAGAGTTTAATACTGCATTCTGGTAACCATTTTGAAAAATTATGGAAATTGGATTCTAAAGTTCAAGTAATTTGCGACATTAAGTAATTGTGTCATTGCATAATATCTTTCACGTGCGATATGTAATTGCAATGACAGAACTGTTGAAGATGTTGGAGTTTTGTGAAATGTCTACCTTTTCCCTTTTCAATTTCTGTGTAGCAATAAACTGTGGTAACCCTGGTGAAATTCTGAATGGATATTACACAGCATCAAATGACACACTTGGAAATAAAGTGACCTTTTATTGTGATGTTGGGTGAGTATTTGCTCTGTGAATTGTTGAATAATTTTGCTGAAATGTTGCTATCATAATGTATAATCACACAATTATTTGTGATAATACTATTTTTCATTTGCATTTCTGATAAGTGTTTTCCATGTGAGTGTGAATCAGACTTTCAATTCAATGCTGAGCAGGGTATTTTTATAAAAGTCTTTATGCACATCAAGTTCAGGGATGTTACTGCATGGGTTTGGAATATCTATCGACAGATGGAAATGTTAAATATATTGGTGATGCCTAGACCTCTACCCTGAGATCAAAACTGGATGACTTTATCTGAGTTCCTCAAAATGCTTACCTTATATTGTAATTGGCGCCATGGTGAACTGGCACATGGTGAACATGGCACATTCTGTTCATCCTGTAATTTATACTTCATATGAAGTCTGATCAGCATTGATTTTGCGATAGTGCAATACCATTGGATTACAAATTCATTTTTTTGCTAAGCTATTCTCACATTGCTGTTTAATATGTAAAATTTGTTGATAGGTGAGTACATGATTCCTCTCTGGACCTCAATTTCTGATCTGGCCTGCAAATTGTACAACTTTCCAAATTACCATGCAGATCTTTGATACAAATGGATTAATTCTCTTCTCTTTTTGCCTAGATACGAGATGGTGGGAAGAGATTATCGACAATGTACAGCTGAGGGATGGCTTGGGGATGTTCCATCTTGTGAACGTAAGTTAGATTTCCCAATTTTGTAAAGTAGCATTCTTATCTATACCAATTTATTGAACTGTTGTCAATGAATTGTCCTGTCATGTTTGTTGACATCCAAGTTTTGTTTGCTCCAGCATTTTGCCATCCTCTCTCTTGGACTTCTTGCACTTTCAAAGACCCCTGCCCTGGCTCTGTCTGCTGTGTTCGTGATGCAGTACAGATGCCTTCCCTGGAACCTGGAGCATAAATATGAGCAGTCACCATTCATATTGCTATGTGGTGCTGGTAGATGCTGGTAATATTGCCAGCAAGAGAGAGCCACCTCTGGCTTCAATAGCATGAAAGGCCCACATTGGCCATCTGTGACTGAGGGCCCTTAAATCAAACTGGGCTTTCTACATTTGAAGATGATCTGGGGTTCCCACTGGTTCATCCTCTGATGTTGAAGACCTCATTCCTAGCACTAAATCTGGCCATGTTGCTTATGGATTTCTTGCCATGATTCAATATGTTCAATGCAGAGACCTTTTTCAGTAAAGTATTGGGATTTAGAGAAAATCTTGCATTTCAAGTGCCATAATTTAGAAAAATGAATTCCAATTTCGAGAAACTTGTCATTCCATGCAACTGTGAACTATTACACCTCAATGATAAATATTGTGAATGACAATGAAAATTTGTTTAGGGCTTTGGGTTCTTGTAACATTTCTACCTTTTCACATTTTGTTTCTTTTATAGCAATTAACTGTGGTAACCCTGGTTCACTTCTGAATGGATATTATAAAGCATCAAATTGGACAGTTGGAAGTAATGTTACCTTCTATTGTGACATTGGGTGAGTATTCAAAATATGAATAACTGAATAATTTTAATTATAGACTAGTTTACTTTAGTGTTGTGATTTAGATGATTTCAAATGATCACACCTTCGTCATTTTTCTGATGAAATTTTTTCATGTTAACAATGAGGGAGGCTTTTATTTTAGTATTCCACCAGCAATGTAAAAAAATCCATTATATGATCAAAACATGGGAGAGTAGTGGTGTAACAGGAATATTAATGCAAGGATGGAACAGTTCATTTGACAAAGTCCATAATCTGAGGTCAAAAGTGGTGTTCATATCTGCTGGATCTGCAAAAGTTTTAAATCATATCACATGCCAGTGCAAAAATGAGCTTTATTCTGTGATGTTTCTCCTGTGCCCTGTACTCCATATTGTGTCCAATGAGTAATTTTAGTTTAGCTGCACTGTAACAACATTTTATTCATTTTGAATATTCTGTAGTTTTATATTATTTTTATAAATAGTTTGTTTAATAAATTTTTACTCTTTGAAATTTAGATTTTTTTTATCTTGTCACTGCATTGGCTCACTTTTTTCAGTGAGCCTTCATGTCTGATAACAGGTGGCTCTGTTTCTCTTCTAGGTACAAAATTATTGGCAGAGATTATCGACAATGCACAGCTGAGGGTTGGGATGGTGAGATTCCATCGTGTGAACGTAAGTTATGTTTCCCTGTTTTGTAAATTAACTGACCTGCGTGTCTGTGCAAAATGATTGAACCACTTTCAATGAATTATTGTATAGTGTTGATGTACAGCCAAGGTTGGATCCAACAGAGATCCCTGGACTGGGACTTGGATTATTAAGAGCATCAGAAGCTACCATACCTGGTGATGTGGCTGACAATGGAGTACTGCCAGCCTGTGTCTTAAGTGGGTGGTTTGCTAACATTTTGATTTAGGATTACTCGTGAAGACTGATGCACATCAATGTTTCATTGATTTGTAGACAGACAGCGCCCTGTTACTGTGAGGTATAGCAGATTAAGAACAAATCTCACCTTTATGTTGCTAGAATAATAGAAACTGAATTCTTGAGGATGTGGGAAGTTTCATTGCATTCGTATTCTTGTTATGTATTAGATGAAAGAGCTATTGGAGGTTTTGGAGTTTTATAATGTTTCTATCTCCACATTGTATTTTCTACGCAGCAATATCCTGTGGTCACCCTGGAGAGATTCCGAATGGGCATTATAAGGCATCAAATGAGATACTCGGAAATAAAGTTACTTTTTATTGTGACTTTGGGTGAGTATTCAGTAAATAAATTACTGAGCAGATTTTGGTGATGACTGTTATTTTAATGCTGTGATTTAGAGAACTTTAGACAGCCATCTCTCATGCATGATATTTCTGATGGCTCAGCATCAGAGCTCTGATTGACTTTTCTAGTTTAGCACTGAACTGATGAATCTTAAAAGAAATGTATACATATACATGAAGTTTCTATGTTGTTGTTGGTAGAATTGCTATATTAATGCAACAATGGAAATGCCGAATATATTAATGATCCCTGGATCCATTGTCTGAGATCAACACTGGAAATTTGTGTCTGCTAGTTCCTCAAGTGCTGACCTTTGTATTGTAAATGAGCTTTAAAGAGAGACAGAGACATCAATATAATTTATATATGGTCAAAGCGTAACATTTTTTATCAACACAAATTGATGAATCTGCGGACCTAGTCCCATATTTTATGTTTTATGAAGTTTGATGGATTTATTTCTCTTTGATCCTTTGGAATTCTAACCCGGACAGAGTACTAGTATTGTCAAAATAACTTTCTTCATTTGTTTCTGTTTCTCTAGATACAAGATAGTGGGTAGAGATTATCGGCAATGTACAGCTGAGGGGTGGGATGGTGATGTCCCATCCTGTGAACGTAAGTTATGATGCACTGTTTTGTGAATTGACTGCTTTGCTCTTCAATATCGAATGATTGGCCGACTTCAATGCATCACCCTCCAGTGTTAGGAAGACAACTTGTATGTCAACCGACAATATTTTGACATCCTTCAGTTTAGAATTCTAATTTCTTGTAATGGGAGGAAACACATACTCAGTGCTTTAATTAGCATTGCATTTTAAAGGAGCACAATTTGGGAAATGAGAAACGGCTATTCATTAAATCAATCATGCTCTGTCCATGAGAGTTTTACTCATCTCCTCGAGTTCAAATGGTATTGTTGGAGCAAGGAGAGAGGTTTTTCTGTATGATGAGACACTTTTTTGAGTGTGTAATGTTACCATAACTTTGAGTTGACACCAAGTGGTATTTCTGTCATGGGAGATCCATGAGAACGAAGTAGGGGAAGATAAAGGAAAAGTTAAATTAATGTTAATAATCCATACTTTAATCATACCTCAAATCTCTTCTCTTGCTCTTCCATTCAAAATTAACTATGCTAATATATCTGTGCCTGGCACATTTAGTTGTGTTAGTGTTCTGATATAGTTGATTTAGTTGATGCTTAAGTGAAAGAAATAGATGTTGATGAAGTCATAAGGTTGGTGGATGACTGTAGTCATGTTGGTGGAAAGCAGATAATGCAATGGAAATGGATATCCATGATTTTTCAGGTGAATAAGAGAGACATGAGAGTCTGCACCACATTTCATGAAATGTGAGAGAGAGAGAGACAGAGAAAAAAAGTTGTGAACTGTGAACCAGTTAGTCTAGCACCTGTCATTGGGGAAAATGCTGTAAAATTTAAGAACTAAGAATTTTTTAGAAAAGTATAATATGATCAAAACAAATCAACATGGTTTTATAAAAGGGAAATGCTGTGTGGCAAATTTATTAGCCTTCATTGAAGTTATAACTATTGGGTTAAATTCTGGACTGCCAGTCAATGCAGATCACATGAATTTCCAAAAGGGTTTTTTTTTTAGCATGCCGTGGATAAGGTTCATAAGCAATGTTCACGAAGTCGTTTCTTGGTCAAAAAATGTTCTAACAGACTTGTCAACTCAGGCTCAGATATTCTGATGGTCAGAATCTTTGGAGCAAGATAGACTGGAGTTGTGAATTGGGATTATGTGGAAGCCAGAGACTGCTGACTGTGGGAATTGCACAGAAATGGAATTTCCAATGGGCAAATCTGTTGCATGTGGAACCTTCCAAAAGAATGCATTCAAGTCAAAGAGTTCTGAGAATGCTGCCTTACCTAAACATAATAATTACCCAGGAGAATTGAGAGGATTAAAAACTGAGTCTTAACTCCTGGATAACCACTAATCTAACCTCCACACCTCACAACTGACCTCCCAAGCTACACGTCTCTGCTCCGTACGCTGACACACACAAGATTCCTGAAAACCACTCCTTGACTGGACTCACCTTCCAATGCCACCTCAGCTGATACTTTTCATATATGGCACTCTGGAGCCAACACTGCCTATAATGCTTCCATTGCCTAGCCTGAGTCTTCCTGGACACAACCGGCCTGACCTTGCCTTTGATCCATAAGCCCCTGTCCATACCAACCTGAGACTGCCTCTCTGCCCCATACCCAACAAAAAAGACTTCTGGTCTGATACCCCTCACCAGACAAGACAAAATCCATCAGAGGCTAAACCTAACACCTGACATGAGACCTGACACCCCTGAAGGGGGCATGTTGGTGAGGGAGGGTTGCTTACTGTCGATGTGCTGTGGCTGGGGGGCTCATTCACACTAAACAATGAAATGCCAGCAGGAGGATATTGAGTAATCACTAATCACACTCTGTGTTCAGACTTATAAACTTCATGGAATACACCATCTACTGCCGTGATAAGGGTGTGTAGAGCAGAGCTTGAATGTCTTCTAATTTTCAGAATTCTTTTTTTTTTGTGAAGGTACTCTTAAATATCTTTTGCCCCTAAGGTTTTGGAGTAGATTTGTAGCTTGGGTTGTGGTTGGTTGGCTCGCCAAGCTGGTTCATTGTTCCGCAGACGTTTCATTACCCTGGTGGGTAACATCATCAGTGCAGCCTCCGATGAAGCGCCATTGTGTTTTCCAGCCTGGTATTTAAACTCTGGATTACCTCGCTTCCGGTTTTCCTTTGCAATGAAGTGTATATGGGGTCGAGTTCTATGTGTTTGTTGATGGCTTTCTTCGTAAACGACACCAGGAAGACACTAAACGCCCTGACACACTCATCACACTACCTTATGTCAGGAACACATCGGAACTAACCACAAGACTCCTACGACCAGTGGGCATCAGAATAGCGCACAAACTCTCATCAACCCTACGACAACTGCTCACCTGAACCAAAGACCCACTACCCACTATGGACAGGACCAATGTCATATACAAGATTCCCTGCAGAGACTGTGACAAACACTATATCGGACATACAGGAAGGAAATTAACAACAAGGGTACATGAACATCAATTGGCTACAAAAAGACACAACCCATATTCACTCAGCTCTATCCACATGGATAAGGAGAACCACCAATTCGATTGAGACAACACCAAGATCCTGGGACAAGCAAAGCAGAGACAAGCACGGGAGTTCCTAGAAGCCTGGTACTCCACAAAGAAAGCCATCAACAAACACATAGAACTTGACCCCCATATACATTCCATTGCAAAGGAAAACCGGAAGTGAGGTAATCCAGCTCAATGGACTCCAGAGTTTAAATACCAGGCGGGAAAACACAATGGCGCTTCATTGGAGGTTGCACTGATGATGTTACCCAGCAGGGTAATGAAACGTCTGCGGAACAATGAACCAGCTCGGCGAGCCAACCAGCCACAATATCTTTTGCCCCCCATGGCTGCTAGTCCCAAACATTTAGTGAGTAGATGGATAGCTGACATTGACTGGAATTTAATGGATTCAAACAGAGTGTGGACATGCTTGTGGGCATTATACCTAAATCTTCTCCAGTGATCCCTCCCTACTCCAGACACCTGTTATCTGCAATCCAGCATAGATCCTCAGTCTGGGCATTGGAACATTCATAGGAGCAGCCACTGCTCTGGTAGAGTTGCTGGCAATGGAAATCTGCCATCCTCTGTCTGGCAGCTCGTGGGCAGATGAACTTCCATAGCTGAGGAATTGGTTATGAGGTGTGAAGGTTATATGCAAGCCCCAAGCTGCCCAAAGGGCACTTTTCTCCATGGAAGTGATGAGCAATTCACATTGGTTCACTAACTGATGGTGAGGTTTCTGTTTTATAGAATGAAATCTGTCCATTATGTCCTTATATTGCTGTTGAGGATTGTTGTTGGTCAATAGAGTGCCCAGGTGGTGTGAGGGATTATAGATTTAGCAAGTCTTGTATTTGTAATACCATAAAACTGGAAAATAAATTCCAAATTTAAGATAACTTGATAATCTGAGAATTGTGTAATTGTATATTTCATCTTCATGTTAACAGTCTGTGGGAAAAAAAAACTGATGGAGAATTTGGATTTTTCTGATATTTCTGCCTTTTCTCATTTTATTTTCTGTATAGCAATAAACTGTGGAAACCCTGGTTCAATTCTGAATGGATATTTTAAAGCATCAAAATGGACAGTTGGAAGTAATGTTACCTTTTATTGTGACATTGGGTGAGTCTTCAGTTTATAACTCACTGAAAAATGTTAGTGAAGCATTGTAGTATTATAAAATTGTGATTAAGACAGTGTTGGATGACCACACATTCATTCCATTTCTCATGGAAGCTCTTCACATTAATTCTGAGTGAGGCTTCCATCCTAGGGTTCAACCATCAACTTAAACAAAACCCTTGGTAAGGATTGAGGTGGGATTGTTAGTGGTGGAGTATGAATTTTAATGTCAAAATAGAACTGTTAAATGTATTAGCAGTAGCAAGGCACACAAACTGAGACACAAATCAAATGTCCCTTGGTGCTGTTTCTACAAAATGTTTAACATATATTAGATACAGCATGACATTGAATTAGAATTAGAGTTAAAATTAGAAATGGAATTAGGTTTTATGGCCACATGTACTCAAGTACAGAGATACAGTGAAAAATGTATGAATTTGCTTTTTCTGTTGCCATCTTAGGTACAAAAGTGCCTAGGTACAAAATCATAGGTATAAATTAGAAAAGTAAAGGAATAAAGTTAAAAGTTAGCATTATAATCCTTCTGAAGCAGAGAAGGAGAGGAAAAAATAAAAGCGGAGGGAGCAGACGGGCCAGAGCTTGGCTTCAGTTTGATGCCATGAGTCCGCGCTCGGCCTCAATTTGGGTCTGCACTGTGCTAATGTTTTGTATGTGCATAGTACTTTTATGAGGTGTTTTCTGAACAAAAATGCAACTGCATTTGATTTCTATTTCATTGTTCTGTTATCCTAGTGCAAGGTTTGATTTATTGATAGTTGAGTAGATTTTTCTTTCATGAGCCTCAGAGCTCCTACATATTCTGCTCAGTGACACATTTTTTTCATTTAATCTTCATGTCTGAATGATACCATTCTTTTTTTAGTTACAAAATTATCGGCAGAGATTATCGACAGTGTACAGCTGATGGTTGGGATGGGGAGGTTCCATCCTGTGAAGGTAAGTTATATTTCTCTATTTTGTAAAATGACTGGGTTACATGTCCAAAAAAAAAAATAATTGAGCCACTTACAGTGAGTCATCATCGCTCATGTCCAAATTTTCTTCCTTACATTATTTTGACATCTTCTATTTTGGAATTCTTTCTTTGAATTGGAGAAAAAAGATGTTCATTGCTTTTTGATTCACATTGCATGTGGAAAGAACATTGTAAGTACACTGAGAAATGACCAGTTATTAACTCGTTCCTACTCCTTCCAGAAGAATTTTTTTTTTTTTACCCGAGCATCATGTTAGTTTGGAGCAAAGAACCGAGTTCCAATGGGTGAAGGAAAGTTTAGGAGATGCTCAGTTTAGTTACATTTTGGAATTAGCAATTTGGGGCCATGGAAAGTAAAGGTACAGGAAATTATGCAATCCATGCTAATTATCCATGTTTAAATTATACAGAGGGCAGGGGTCTGAATTATCACTCCCTTGTCTGGTGTCAGCTAGATTTGAGGATTGCTGTGGGGCACATCAGGGGTTTGCCATTAGGTGAGTCTGTGGATTGTTGTCAGCTGTGTCAGCTCGATCAGGGGTCAGTGGTGTCAGCCGTTCCCAGGGATTCTCAATAGTGGGATCGGAGAAATTCATTGGCCTAGCCTGGGGAGTGCTGTCTGCTGTTGGGTGGTGGGGGGCAAAGCAGAATGCTGTACAGTTGTGGGTTGAAGCACTTTAGAGTAATTATCGCTGAGCCCATCAGAGTTTAGTTGAGCCTCAGAGATTGAATGGGACACATGCGTCTCTCCCTTGACTCCTGAAGGCAGCCCAGCAAACGCTGCAACCTTGTCACGGTGTTCCTCATTGCCAGTCACTCAGTGCCCAATCATGGGGGCCATTGAAATCCATTTTAATGACCATCCTTGTGACTCACTGCACATAATTCTCTGGTGACTGACTCCATACATCAACCATCCCAACCCCCATTCACATCACTGATGTCCTAGGATTCAGTGGAGATCCTTTTTCTGGTTCCTGGAGTATGAATGGGAGCAGCCACCAGTCATAGAGACACTTTCAGCAATGGAATACTGCTTACCACTGGCTCAGGAAGATATTGAATTGCTGCTAGTGACTGGTGCAATTCCATTCATAGTGCTTTGCAGAGGGACAGCAGTTTGTTATTCTGAGGTTTTGCAGATCATGAAAATGTTTTGCTTTTGTATTACCGTATATCTGAAAGTTGAATTTATGATTTGGGATAACCTGATTTTATTGTCAATTTCATTCGTGTTTGTATTAAATATTTCAGTGAAAAGTGCTGTTATAGAGTTTGGAGTTTTGTTTCTAGCTTTTCTTATTGTATTTTCTGTGCAGCAATAAGCTGTGGTAACCCGGGGGAGATTCTGAATGGACGTTATATGACACCAAATGAGACAGTTGAAAATAAAGTGTTTTTTTATTGTGACTTTGAGTGAGTATTCAGTCAATAAATTAGTGAAAAGATTTTGTTGAAAGTCTATTATTTTAATGCTACAATTACGACAAATTCAAACTGCCATCTCTTGTGCATGACATCTCTGATGATGGTTGAGCATGTAAGCTGTGATTGGATCTTCCAGTTTAGTGTTGAAAACTGAGAACTTTTAAAATATTCGCTGTACTAATCGAAGCCAGTGATGTTATGGCTTACATTGAATATTAATGTGCAGTTGGAAATGCTGAATGTGTTATTAATCCCTAGGTCCATAATCTGAGATCAACACAGGATATCAAAGTCTGCTGGTTTCTTAACTGTTTAAATTATATTGTAAATCAGCTGTAAAATGAGCTAGAAGCATCAATATTTCTCCTGTGCACAGTAGTTTATATTGAGTCTGGGCAGTCCTTTTATTTGAGCAAATAAAAACTATATTTGATTCATTCATTAATCTACAGACCTAGTCCCATTTTAAAAGATGTTTTGAAATTTGTTACTGTTTAGATAAATTTATTTATCTTTGGACCTTTTAATCTAATCAGTGAACAAGTATTGTCTAAGTGACCTCCAGTTTATTGATACAAGTGGTTCGCTTCTCTTTTTTAGATACAAGATAGTGGGTAGAGATTATCGACAATGTACAGCTGAGGGTTGGGATGGTGATGTGCCATCCTGTGAACGTAAGTTATGTTTCCTTCTTTTTATAAAGCAACTGATTGGCTGGTCAGTGCTAAATGATTGGCCTACTTCCAATGAATTCTTTTTGTAGTGTTGGTTGGCATCCAAGTTTTCTTCCCTTCAGTAGTTCGACACCCTGCAGCTTGGAATTCTGATTTCCTGGAATGGGAGAAAACATTAACTCAAAACTGTTTTCAACATTGCGTATTAAAGTACATAATGTGTGAAATGAGAAATGACCATTCAGCAAATCAATCCTGCTCCTTCTAAAGACCTTACATTTTTTCCCTAGCTCAAATGATGGTGTTGGAGTGAGGACTTGAGTCTTGATGTGCAATGAGAAGTTAAAAGCTGCTAATGTTAGTGGAACTTAAGCTGACAGACTGTAGTCATTTCAGCTTTGGGGAATTCAGGGAAAGCAAGTGGAAGCCAAAGTCAAAGTGTATTCAGTTCTCCTAGTCCAATTTCTTTTTCTTCCAATCTTGTTTAAAGATCCTACTTTGACTTTACCCCACTGAATTAGTTGCCTTACCTGAATTAGTTGCCTATAGCTACCAAAGGGAAAGCTCCATTGATTGACATTTGAGTGAAAGTAAAAGATTTTATTGAGGCAACAAAAAGAAAAAAGGTGTAAGGTTTGGTGGTGTTGGTACTGAGGGAAAACAGGTAACACTATGGAAGTGGGAATAAGTGATCATTGAGATGAGCTGGAAACTTGATTCTATGATTTCCTCATATAAGGAAGCCCATGCCCTTTAAATGATGGAGACCACTGAATTCAAATTTTTGAATATATTTCATGATAGTGTCTAATTTTCATAGGCATATGTATACCTCAGCTCCTCCATGTCTGCTTGTCTGCCACCATTTAGTAAGCAAGTGAAGTTTGATACTGGTAAATACTTTGAGCTATTGAAGCAAAGGGACCTGTTGTTTTGAGGCATTGTGGACTAAGTGGAAGTCCTCCAATTGTTTTCTAATTTTGAAAATTAATTTACTAAGTAAGCGTAACTTGGCATTGTGGACAGGTTTTGTTGTAGCCATTCATCTTCATGCAAAGTATTGTGAAATGAAAGAAACTGTTGCAAATTTTGAAGGTTTCTTACTTTTCCATCTGTTCTCATTTTATTTTGTGAGCAGCAATAACCTGTGGTAACCCTGGCACAATATTGAATGGATATTATAATGCACCAAATAAGACAGTTGGAAATAAAGCTACTTTTTATTGTGATATTGGGTGAGTATTCAGTGCATAAATTATTAATGGACTATATAACTCTAATGTTGTGATTAAGACTATTTCAATGCCGGTCTGTCTCTTGTTCTTCACATTTCTGATGACATCTCTTCATGTTATTCAGAGTAAACCTGATTCTTTTATTATTTGATGAACATAATTTTCAAAGGAATATAAAATATGGTGTGACTTGGCAAACATTTGATGAATAGAGTGAAATTTGGGAAAATGTTTGCCTTTTAATTGACTACTTGGTGTTTTAAAAACAGTTTCTTGTTATTTTAATTGACTTTTCTTCCTTGAACATTGTAATTCATGCCTGGTCAGTGCACTGGAATATTTTGCTAGTTATCCTGAAGATGATTGATTTTTGTTTTTCTAGATACACAATGCTGGGTAAGGATTATCGGAAATGTACACCCGAGGGTTGGGATGGTGAGGTACCATCCTGTGAATGTAAGTTCTGTTTCTTTTTTTTTGGTAAAGTAATGAACTTAACTTCTCTTTCAAATTTTAAAGCTACTGTCAGTGCATTGTTAGAGATTTGATTAAATTTCAAGTTTTCTGCCTTCCAATTTTTGTCCAACTTGGAGGTTTATCTCTGTAGAATAGGAAGAAACAGCTGAGTAATGATGATATTCATCATTACATATTAAAGAAAACTGAAGTGTGGTTTGAGAAATGAACATTCAACTCTGATTCATTAAATCAGTTTTGTTTGTTCCAGAATTTAATCATCTGCCCTACTGCAAATGTTGGTGTTGAACCCTGAAGCTGGATTTTGATATGGAATGGGTTATTTAGGAAGTACTGACTTTAGGGTAACTGATAAGCATGTAATTTTGGCAATTGGAAATCTAGAAAGTGAAAGTGATAGATATAGGAAAAGTTCAGACAATAATAATGGTCCATAATTAAATCACATTCATATCTCCTTGTATTTTTTTTCTGTTTCTGTTTTAATTTATTCATACATGGGATGAGGGTGTCACTGGCTCAGCCGGCATTTTTCGCCCATCTTTACTTGCCCAGAGGGCAGTTAAGAGTCAACCACGTTGCTATGGGTCTGTAGTTGCATGTACGGCAGGCCAGGTAAGGATGGCAGTTTCCTTCCCAAAAGGACATTAGTGAACCCAATGGGTTTTTCTGACAATCAACAATGGATTCATGATCATCATTAGACTCTTAATTCCAGATTTTTTATTGAATTCAAATTCCACCCTCTGTCACAGCAGGATTCAAATGCGGACGCTCAGAACATTAGCTGAGTTTCTGGAATAATAGCCCAGCAATAATACCACTGGGCCATCGCCTCCCCCAGTTCATGTGTGATCTGCAAACTCTGCTACATTTGGAGCAGGTGGTGCTTGGACGGTCGGGTAAATAAGTTATTGGGTGACTTGTGTACTTTTGCAGAGGCATCAACACTGCCCATCTATGCTCCTGACGGTTTCTTTCTATCACTTTTTACCCAAATTAACCTTTCTTCATTTGTTCGATCACAAGACGGTGACTCCCAGGGGTTGAGGGCTAAAATTGATCTCTTTAGAGATGCTTTGAGTCCAATCTTAAAACATTTCTGTGCTCCTCCTGAGAGATTCCTGTCATGAATGATTTCCAAGTAGAGCAGTTGCTTCCAGAGTCTGGTAGAAGAGTGATATGTTCTGCCAGCAGATTTGCCTCTGCGTAATTATCACCTTGATACTGGGCAAGTTCTAACTCCCATTGAGCAAATTACTATATTCCATTAACTACTTTGATAAAGATATTATGGAAATTGGATTCAAAAGTTGAAGTATTTTGTCACACTGATGCATGGTATCTTTCATGCTAAATATTTAAATTGCATAGAACAGAAGTGTTGAAGATTTTCAGTTTTGTGACATTTCTGCCTTTTCTCATTTCACTTTGTGTAGCAATAAACTGTGGTGACCCTGGCAAGATTCCGAATGGATATTATATGGTGCCAAATGATACAGTTGAAAATAAAGTAACATTTTATTGCGATGTTGGGTGCGTATATTCGACTTAAGTTCATAAATAATTTTGCTGATAGACTGTGCTGTTATAATGTTTAATCACGAGAATTTGAAAAGTCCGTAATTTTAGTATCCTGCATTTTTGATTAGTGTTTTCATGTCAATATGAATCAGACTTCGAATTCATTGCTGAGCTGACAATTTGTTTTGTAAAAAACCATTCATGCACACACCAAGTTCAGGGATTTTACTGTATGGAGTTGGAAAGTACATTGACAGATAGAAATATTGAATTTGTTGGTGGTACATAGAACCATACGTTGAAGTCAACACTGGATGACTTTACCTGTTTTGTTCCTCAAAATGCTAACGTTATATTGTATGTTGTTCCAAGGTGAGTTGGCACATCATATTCATCTTGTAAATTATATTTCATATGAAGTCTGATCAGCATCAATTTTAGCAATGGTGTAATTCTATTCAAGTGCAAATTCATATTTCTGTTAACTTATTCTCACATTTGATTTGATTATATATAGTTTGGTGACAAGTGACTAAACATTTACTCTCTGACCCTTACTTTCTTACATGGTCCGGACTTTTCAAATTAATGTTCAGTACATTGATACAAGTAAATTAATTCTCTTTTACCTAGATACAAAATGGTGGGTAGAGATTATCGACAATGTACAGCTGAGGGATGGGTTGGCGATGTTCCATCCTGTGAACGTAAGTTTCCTGTTTTGTAAAGTGACGTTCTTGTCTGTATCAAGTGATTGAGTTACTTTCAATGGATTGTCATGTAATGTTGGTTGGCATCCACGTTTCCTTCCCTCCAGTATTTTGACATCCTCCTGCTTGCACTTTTGACTTTTTGAAATAGGACAAAATATTTATGGGACATAACATGTCAAAGAAGAAGTAACTGTTCATCAATTTTCCGCCCATGTTAATGATGGAGAAACAAGCTAGGATTTTGTGTGTGATGTGACATTTCGGAGGTGGTTATATTAATGGAGATGTGACTGACATGAAGTGGTAGAGCGGATTATGGGGGAGCAATAAAGTGGAAGTGCCTGATAAAGAAAACATGCAACCAATGTTTATGATCCACTCCTCTCTATTTCTTATACATTTTTTGTTTAAAGATTCAAATGGGGCTGTTCCTGTGCCTTACTGAATTAAATGTGTTAGTGCAGCCTATAGGAAACTGTTGCATTCATTTACTGTAGAAGTTTGAATGATAGTAATAGATATTGTGGAGGTGACACAAACACAGCGGATGATTTAGTGTCATAGAATTGTACAGTATGGAAACTGACCCATTGGTCCAACTTGTTCACGCCAGCCAGATATCCTAAACGAATTTAGTCCCATTTGCCAGCATTTAGTCCATATCCCTCTTAACTCTTCCAATTCATGTACTGATCCAGATACCTTTTAAATGCTGTAATTGTACCAGCCTCCATTACTTCCTCTGGCAGCTCATTCCATACACGCACCACTCTCTGCATGATAAAGTTGCCCCTGGGGCCCCTTTTAAATCTTTCCCCTCTCAGCTTAAACCTATGCCCTCCCCTACCCTGGGGAAAAGACCTTGACTATTCACCCTATCCATGCCCCTCATAATTTTATAAACCTCTATAAGGTCACCCCTCAGCCACTGACATTCCAGGGAAAATAGCCCCAGCCTATTCAGCCTCTCCCTATAGCTCAACCTCTCCAACACTGTCAACATCCCTGTAAATCTTTTCTGAACCCTTTCAAGTTTAACAACATCTTTCTTATAACAGGGAGACCAGAATTGAACGCAGTATTCCAAAAGTAGCCTAACCGATGTTCTGTACAGATGCAACGTGACATCCCAACACCTGTACTCAATGCACTTACCAAAAAAAAGCTAGCATTCCAGATTGTGTTGTGGTAGATTTGATAATGCTTTACAAGTCAAATGGTCACTTTTTCATTTTGAGGTCCAGCATACTTGAAATAACAGGTTATAATATTTGTGACTTTCTTGAGCTATTCCAGAATATCTACAGACTGTCGTGAGGTAAAGAAAGTACTAACTTTATTTAAGAAACTTTATACAATATATTCAACTTGCAATGAGGCTGCAAGAAAGAGCAAGGTCATCTGTGACATTGCATCACTTCCTCCTATCATGTATACTTTGCTGATTAGCATATCACAGAGTTAGATATAGCCCCTGAAACGACATGAGCAACATTGCAATAACAGTTTGTTTATGTACAGGACCAACAATTTTCAGCGCCTTCTGTCCTGTAGAAGTGGATTTTTAAATATGTTTGCTCCTTCATGGTTACCATGCTGTAGACATTTAGTAAGTAGTTGGATATTTGCTATTGGCTGGAATTTGATACAACCTGCCAGAGTGGATGCGAGATTAGGAAAGGGTTATTGGTGGAATTAGGCAGAAGGAGCCACATCAGATTCCAAATGACAAATGTGTGTTGGTTATGTGTTGTCCAATTCAACCTGTTAATGAGCCACTTGAGAGCAATTATCACTGAGTCCATCAGAATTTGGGGTACCTTAGGGTAACTCTCCAATGCCTTCTGAAGACCACACAGGAAACAATGTTGGATGCCCCTGCACCACATAGTGAGAGTTCCTTGTTTTGAGACAATCAGCACCCTATGGAGGCACCTAGCATCAGAAAGAGGGACCATTCAAAGAAGCGCTACCCTTGTCCCCAGTTACCCCTACAGCTGCGCTTTCCAGTGACCCCTGGCCCTGTCTCAATCCGCTGTGTCCTGCAATGCAGCAGAAGTGCCTTTCCTGGGCCATGGAGCATTAATATCTGCAGTCACCATTCATAATACCATGCAGTGCCAGTAGGGCGGCACGGTGGCTCAGTTGTTAGCACTGCGGCCTCACAGCGCCAGAGACCCGGGTTCGATTCCAGCCTCGGGTGACTGTCTGTGTGGAGTTTGTACGTTCTCCCTGTGTCTGTGCGGGTTTCCTCCCACAGTCCAAAGGTGTGCAGGGTAGGTGGATTGGCCATGCTGAATTGCCCATAGTGTCCAGGGATGTTTAGGTTAGGTGGGTTAGACCTGGGAAATCAGGGGTAGGATAATGGGTTTGGGTGGGATGCTCTTCAGAGGGTCGGTGTCGACTTGCTGGGCCGAATGGGGATTCAAATAGGGATTCTATGAATAGATGCTAGTCGTGTAGCCAGCAATGGAGAACCAGTTCTGGCTTTGATTTCATGAAAGGCCCACATTGGCCTGAGAGCCCTTAAATCAAATTGAGCCTTCTATGTATGGAAGTGATGTGGGGCTCCCACTGGTTCACTCATTGATGTTGAGGATCCCCTTACTAGAACTAAATCTATCCGTGTTGTTTTTGGATTTCTTGTCACAAATCGTGATGTTCATTACAGAGACTAGTTGCAATGAAATTTCATGAGTTTAGAGAAAATCCTGCATTTCAAATGCCATAATTTAGGAAAATGAATTCCACATTTAGAGTAACTTGTTATTCTACACAACTGTGTGGTATTTCATCTTCGTGTTAAAGCCTGTGAATGGCACTGAAAAATCTTTGGGGGTTTGTTTTCTTGTAACATTTCTACCTTTTCATATTTTGTTTTCTTTGTAGCAATAAACTGTGGTCACCCTGGTTCACTTCCGAATGGATATTATAAAGCACCAAATTGGGCAGTTGGAAGTAATGTTACCTTTTATTGTGATATTGGGTGAGTATTCAGTATATAAATTAGTGAATAATTTTAATTTAAATCTACTATTTTAATGTTGTGATTTAGAAGATTTCAAATGACCACACGTTCATCACTTTTTGGTTAAAATCTTCATGCGAGCACTGAGGGAATTTTAAAAAAAAATCCATCATACTGTTCAAGGTGTGGGACAGTAATATTGGAATAGGAGTACAAATGTAAGGATAGAAGTGTTAATTTAGCAAAGTCCATAAGCTGAGATCAAAAATGATCCTCTTAGAACATAGAACATAGAACTGTACAGCACAGTACAGGCCCTTTGGCCCACGATGTTGTGCCGAACTTTTACCTTAAACCTAAGGTCTATCTAACCTCCACCCCTACCTCATACTATCATCCATATGCCTATCTAATAGCCGCTTAAATGCCCCTAATGAGGCCGACTCCACTACCTTCTCCGGCAATGCATTCCACGCCCCTACCACTCTCTGAGTAAAGAACCTACCTCTGACATCTCCCCTATATCTACCTCCACTCACTTTAAAACTATGCCCCCTTGTAATAGCTACCTCCACCCTAGGAAAAAGTCTCTGGCTGTCCACTCTATCTATACCTCTGATCATTTTGTACACCTCTATCAAGTCACCTCTCATCCTTCGTCGTTCTAAAGAGAAAAGCCCTAACTCTCTCAACCTTTCCTTGTAAGACCTTCCTTCCATTCCAGGCAACATCCTGGCAAATCTCCTCTGCACCTTTTCCAACGCTTCCACATCTTTCCTGTATATATTCCCCTGTATATTTCCTCTTGTATGCTGGTTCTTCAAAACTCTTAAATTAAGGGTGTCAATGCAAAGATGAGCTTTATGGACCAGTGTTTCCCTTGTGCACTGTACTTGTAACAGTTTGTTGATACTTAATACATTTTTACTTGGCAAATCTTAGATTTCTCACTTGTTCAGCGCAATGACACACCTTTTCATTGAAGACTTATGTTTGATAACCGGTGATTCACTTTTCTTTCTTTAGATACAAAATTATCGGCAGAGATTATCGACAATGTACAGCTGATGGTTGGGATGGCAAGGTTCCATTCTGCGAACGTAAGTTGTATTTCCCTGATTGTTAAAGTAATTGACCTGCATGTCTGTACCAAATGATTGATCCATTTCAATAAATTATAGTACAGTGTTGTTTTATGTCCAAATTTTATTCCATACAATAGTATGACACCCTATAACTTGGAATTCTGTCATTTTGGAATAAGACAAAAGTATTATTTGCTTTAATTCACATTGTATATTGAAAGATAATACTATTATCTCTGAATCCATGAGAGTATGGTGAAAGCTTAGGGTTACTTAAATTTATTAAATTTACACGTCAAATCAACTGTCTTCATCCCAGAAGAACTTCATTTTCTGTCCAGCATCAATGTTAGCTTTGGAGCAAAGAGCCAAGTTTTGATCATTGAAAACAAGTTTAGGTGATGCTATTGAGGTTGGTTGGCTCGCCGAGCTGGTTTGTTGTTCCGCAGACATTTCGTTACCGTGCTGGGTAACATCCTCAGTGCAGCCTCTGATGAAGCATCGGTGTGTTTTCCCACCTGGTTTTTAAACTCTGGGGTCCGTTGCGATGGATTGCCTCACTTCCGGGTTTCCTCCATATTGGAATGTATATGGGGTCGAGTTCAATGTGTTTATTAATAGCCTGCTTCGTGGAGTGCCATGCTTCCAGGAATTCTCGTGCTTGTCTCTGCCTAGCCTGTCCCAGGACCTTGGTGTTGTCCCAGTCGAAGTCGTGGTTCATCTCAGCATGCCTCTTGAAGCCTCTGGGGATAGAAGGAATGTTGGCATGGAGATATAAGGGCAAAGGTTGGTGGGGGAGGACATTAAGTTAACACAGAGTCTATAAAGAAATGTGGAGATAGATGGCATGACATGAGTTAATGTTGAAGCTTTGAGGGGGTCTTTGGGTCATGAATAGCGAGCATAGGTTGTCATGGAGGATAGGAAGTATATGTGGGATACATGGATGGCATGATTTGTCATGAATAGGGCTTGGTATGTACGTGGGAGATGAAGAGGTATGATTGGTGAGGGCTACTAGGTTTCATTGTTTTTGTTGTAACTAGGATCAATCCAAGAGAACCAAGGCCAAGCTTATAACCAGGCAACTTTGACACTTGGCAGCCACCCTGGCATTCTGCCAATTGTTTCTGGGATTTAAAAAACTAAAGAACTGCAGATGCTAGAAATCAGAAACAAAATCAGAAAGTTGAATCCTATCGTGGCAAATGGTGAAATTTAAATTCAACAAATGGAAATTGGGAATTTTAAAAAGACGTTACACCAGGAAGCTAAAATGTTAGCTAATAAATGCTGGTCAAACCAGAGATGTCTACATGCCATGGCAGATGTTTTGGAATTTTGTTACATTTCTATCTTCTCATTTTGTTTTCTATGCAGCAATAACTTGTGGTAAACCTGGGAAAATTCTGAATGGACATTATAAGGCTGCAAATGAGACACTTGGAAATAAAATTATCTTTTATTGCAACTTTGGGTGAGTATTCAGTAAATAAGTTACTGAACAGATTTTGGTGATAGTCAGTGTTATTTTAAGGCTGTGATTATGACAACTTCGGACGCCATCTCTCATGCGTAACATTTCTGATGATGGCTCAGCATGAGACCTCTGAGTGACTATTATAGTTTAGCATTGAATTGACAATTCTTCAAAAATCTATATCATTTCGATGTTTCTATGATGTTGCTGGGCTTGCTGTATTAATGCAAAGGTGGAAATATTGATTATATTAATGATCCCTGGATCCATTATCTGAGATCAACACTGGACATTTGTGTTTGATGGTTCCTCACGAATGATTAAACTGTAAATCATCTCTAAAGAGGGCTATATGCATCAAAATTTCTCCTGTGCACCATGACTGATATACAGTCAGAGCAATTTTTTTTATCAACTCAAGTGTATTTGATTCCTTCATGAATCTGTGGACATAGTACAATGAAGTTTATTTTATGAAGTTATTTTATGATCATATTTTCATATGATACTTCATATTTTATGAAGTTTCGTGCTATTATTATAGATTTATTTCTCTTTAGACTTTAGAATTCTATCCTGGTCAGTCTACTAAAAATTTCTAATTAGCTTTCTAGTTCCTAATACAAACGATTTGTTTCTCTTTTTCTAGGTACAAGATGGTGGGTAGGGCTTATCGACAATGTACAGCTGAGGGATGGGATGGTGATGTTCCAACTTGTGAACGTAAGTTATGTTTCACAGTCTTGTGAAGTGATTTACCCACTTCAACGCATCACTCTTCAGTGACATCCAAGTTTTTTTTCCTACAGTATTTTGACATCCTCCAGCTTGGAATTCTGATTTATTGTAATGGGAGGAAACATCTATTCAATGTTTTAATCAACATTGCATTTTAAAGGAACACAATGTGGGAAATGAGAAATGGACATTCAGTAAATCAATCCCGCTCTTTCCAGAAGATCTAACTCTTCTGCCCAAGTTCAAATGGTAGTGTTGGAACAGGAGATGGGTTTTGGGTACAATGAGACACTTATGAGTTTGTAATGTTAGCTGATTTTGACTTGGCAGCAAATGATGTTGATGGTCATAGGGGATCCACAGGAAGGAATTAGAAGATGAAGGAAAAGTTGAGTCAATATCAATGATCCATACTTTAATTATTCCCCAAATCCCTTCTCTTCCTCTTCCATTCTATTTAAAGATCCTATTATGTCTGTGCCTGACAAATTTGGTTGTGTTAATGTTGCCGATACTGTCAATTAGTTGATGCTTGAGTGAAAGAAATAAATATTGATGAAGTGACAAGATTGGTGGATGATGATAGTGGTGATGGTGCTCTGCAAATGGAAATCTATAATCTTTGAGGTGGACAGGAGATTTTGAAGTCATTTCCTCACCAGTTTAGCTTGATATTTCAAGGAAGGAGAGAGGGAGAAAACTGTGATCTGTGTGTCAGTTAGTCTGACATTGGTAAAATGCTTAAAATTTTAAGGATGTCTTAATAACGCATTTAGAAAGCCTCAATATGATGAGAACACGTCAACACAGTTTTAATAAAGGTAAACCCTGTTTGGAAAATATGTTAAAAGTTTTTGAGGATGTAACTATTGGAGTAGATACCTGGCTTCCAGTCAATGAAAAGTACATGGATTTCCAAAAGGCACATTATAGCAGGCCACACACAAGGTGTAAGCAAGGTAAGTAAGATAGGGGTTCATGAAGTTGTTACTGAGAAATTCATTAAGGCTTCTTAGACAGCATCTTCCAAACCCCAGCCACTATCATCCCTCACTATCATGGTCAGAATCCTGGAATTTCCTTCCTAACAGTATTGTAGGTGTATCTGCACTAAATCTACTACAGTAGATTTCTACCATCTTCTCCAGGGCAAGTAGGGATGGACAATGAATGCTGTCCCAGCCAGTGAAAGCCAGAATCCTTAAATGAATAAACCCACATTGATTTGATTTTGCAACTTTGCATGGTTTTAAGTGACTTATAATCACAGACATTTAAGTACCTATATATCTCCAAAATCTGTAATCCCTCACTATTTAATAAGTAGCTGAAGATGGAGTAGGTCATGTCATTATGTTGTTGAAATCAGAGACAGACCTAGTGTAAGGTATTGCACATTAAGAGGAAGGCTTGCATTGTATTTCCATCATTTTGAAAAATGAGTTCCAAAATCAGGCTAATTTATTATTATTGGCAATTTTGTTGTCTGTTCATCATCATGTTAAAAGGCTGCAAACCGCAATGAAAAAGAAATCAACAGATTTTGGTGTATTGTAACAGAACTACATATCTCACCTTTTGTCTGTAGCAATAACATGTGGCAACCCTGGAGAGATTCTGAATGGATATTACAGTGCTCCAAATAAAACATTTGGAAATACAGTTACTTTTTATTGTGACATTGGGTGAGTTTCAGAATATAAATTATTATATTCTTTTGATATTCTGATCTAGACAGTTTTAATTTACCATCTATCTGTAGATCTTCACATTTTTGATAACAACTCGCTGTGAGAGCAATGACTAAGCCTTATTCCTTCTCTATTCTGTGAACTTACATTTGCAAAGGCATGTAGATATGTTGATTGACTGGGTTGCAAATTTGATAGATGGATAATAATTTGGAAAGTGTTTGATTTTTGTTTTTTGTTAAAATAATTCAAGATAATTTTCCTCTATGGACCTTAAATTCTTATCTGGTCAGCACATTCTAACATTTTTCTACTTAAACTTCAAGTAACTGATGACAGGTAATTTGTTTTCCTTTCTAGATACTCAATGTTGGGTAGAGATTATCGGCAATGTACAACTGAGGGTTGGGATGGCGAGGTTCCATCTTGCGAACGTATGTTCTATTTATTTCTTCTGAAATGTGACCAGCTCACCTTTTATCCTACTAGACGATATCTCAATGAATTTTCTCAGAACTTTGATTCACATCTAAGTTTCCTTCCTTTCAGCATTTTCCCATCCTGGAGTTTGGAGTTCAGTCTCCATGGAATAGGAAGAAACACCTGTTCAGTGATTTTATTCAACGTAGTATGTTAAAGGCAAATAATATATAATTTGAGAAATGGCTTTTCATAAAATAAGTTCTTACAGTTAGAGAATTTAATTGTCTGTCCTTCTGCAAATGTTAATGTTGAAGCATGAAGCTGAGTTTTAATTTAGGATGGGCAGTTTAGGAGATGCTAAGATCTAGTTCTACATGCTAGTGTTTGTTGTTTTGACAATGGGAAATCTAGGAAGTAAAAGTGACAGGTAAAAGAAATGTGCAGACAATATTAATGGTCTATAATTAAACCAGGCATATAATACATTCTCTTCCCTTTCCATTCAAATGTTATGCTCCAATTAGATCAGTATCTCCATTCTACTGAATTTGTTGTGTTAGTGCAGTACATTGTTCCTGATCTAGCTTGTGTGAAAGTAATGGTTTTCAATGAGGTAACAAAAACACGGTGCTAAAGTAGAGCAGAAGATCCCTCACTTCTCTGTTTTAATTCCTTCTCCTTAGGTAGTCCCTTGGGATCAAGTGTGACTTGCTTCCACTTTGGCTCAATGGGTTCTGAGATAGCTATTAAGTCCAATAAGCTCTATGCATATTCTGCCATTTCAAAATGCAGCTTGGAGGGTAATGAGATTTTGGAGGATGTGCACTTTTTAAGAAACCTCAACGTCATCTTTGCGTGTTCCTGACAAAGTCTGTCTGCATCTATGATTTCCAAAATTAGCCTTCTTTCAAATTGTTTGGTCATAAGCCAGGACTTCCAAGAGGAGTCATTAGGTATTTTTCACCTCTTCAGGGTGGACAACCTTTAAGCAAATTAATTATCCATGTGGGAGTCTCCTGCTGGAAGTGAGTTCTAAATAGGGCAGTTGCTTCAAGAACCTGGTATCAGGTGTAAGCATGTTCTATCTGTGTGATTACCACTACTAAGCAAGTTCAAACTCTTTTGCAATAAGGAACTACATTCCATGAACTGTGTTGAAGTTGTTTGAGAGTTGGATTCCAAAGTTAAAGAAATCTGTTATTCTGACTAACTGTGTAGTAGCTTCTTATCTTCATACTAAAAATGTCAATTGTAACAAAAGAACAGATGAAGATTTTTGATATTTCTGGCTTGTCCCGTTTTATTTTTACATGCAGCAATAAACTGTGGTAACCCTGGAGAGATTCTGAATGGATATTATAAGTTACCAAACAGCACAATCGGAAATAAAGTGATCTTTTACTGTGATGTTGGGTGAGTTTTCAGAGTACTAATTGTTGTATGATTTTGGTGAATGACAATACTAGTTTAATGTTTACTCACAAAACAATTTTCAGGTGGCTATATTTGAATTTTTACGTTTCTGATAACAAATCCCCATGTAACCGTGAATGAGGCTTCCAATTTAATATTGAGCTAACAATCTTTAAAATTTCAGACTGATGAAGGCCAGGAATCCTTTGTGCTGGTTTAGGAACATTAATGGAAAGATTAAATTGCTAAATGTATTACACCTCAAATTGGACACCTAGATCACCACTGGAAGGCTGTATCTACTGATTACTAAAAATGTGTCAATCCTGATGAAGGGTCCGGACATGAAACATTAACTTTCCTGCTCCTCCAATGCTGTCTGACCTGCTGTGCTTCTCCAGCTCCACATTTTATCGACTAAATCATGTTGTGAATTGTTCTCAACATGAATTGCACACACCAATGCTCTTCCTGTATTTTGTACTTTTATGGAGTCTGACCAGAATTTCTTTTTAGCAATAATGTTATTCTAACTTCATTTTTCTGTTAATCTTGTTCATTTTGTTTTTGCAAACAGTTTGTTGACAGGCGAGTTTATTTTTCCTCTATAGGACTTAAATTCTTATTTGGTCAGCAAACCGTGTCATTTTCCCTATTACTCTTCAGGTCATGACACAGGTGGTTTGATTCTCTTTTCCTAGATACAAAATGGTGGGTAGAGATTATCGACAATGTACAACTAAGGGATGGGATGGTGATGTTCCATCTTGTGAACGTAAGTTATGTTTTCTTGTTTTGTAAGATTAATAGCAGCAGACAGTCTTCCTGGTAGAATTGCTGGCAATGGAAAATTGCAAGCCTCTGATTGTCTGGCAGGTTGCGGAGAGAGAATTTTTCTTCACCTCAGGCTTTGATCACACGGCAGGCCCAGGTTGGCCAAAGAGCACTTAAATCATACTGGGCCTTCTCCATCGAAATGTTGGCGCCTTCACACTGAGGGGTTTACCAACTGGTGTTGAGGATTCTGCTGATGGAATGAAATCAGTCCATTATGTTCTTGGATTGCTGGTGATGATTGTTGTTGGTCAATATAACGCGCAGTTGTGTGAGGGATTGTCGATTTATGGAAATCCTGCGTTTATAATACCATAAAATTGGAAAGTAAATTCCAAACTTAAGTGACCTAATAGTCTGAACAATTGTGTAGTAGTATATTTCATCTTCATGTTGAAAATATGTGAATGGCAATGAAAAGAAACTGCTGGAGATTTTTGTTTTTTCTGATATTTCTGCCTCTTCGTATTTGATTTTCTGTATAGCAATAAACTGTGGAAACCCTGGTTCAATTCTGAATGGATATTATAAAGCATCAAAATGGACAGTTGGAAGTAATGTTACCTTTTATTGTGACATTGGGTGAGTCTTCAGTGTTTAAATTACTGAATAATTTTAGTATTGGCCTATATTATTTTAAAGTTGTCATTCAGAAAATGTTGGACGACCACACATTCAATACATTTCTTATGGAAGCTCTTCAAGTGAGGCTTCCATCCTAGTATTCAACCAGCAAGTTAAACAAACTCTTGGTGCTGATCAAGATGGGGAATGTTTAGGTTGGCATAGGAATATTAATGCAAACGTAGAAATGTTAAATGTGTTATCATTTGGAAGATCCGTGAGCTAAGATACAAACCAGATGTCTCTAGGCGCTGTTTCTACAAAATGTTTAACTTATATTAGAAGTTACCATGATGGTGAGTTTTAAATGCCAGTGTTTTGTCTGTATATTGTAGTTTTATGGGGTCTAACTTGTGCTTTTATATTTAAATATGAATGCAACAGCATTTGGTTCCTATTTTATTGTTCTGCTACACTACAGCTATATTCGTTATATATTTCTTTGTTGATAGTTTAATACATTTTACCTTCATGAACCTCAGAACTCCCACATGTTCTGCCCAGTGACACATTTTTTTTCAGTTAATCTTCATGTCTGATAATAGGTGGCTTACCATTTATTTTTAGATACAAAATTATCGGTAGAAATTATCTGCAATGTACAGCTGACGGTTGGGAAGGCCAGGTTCCATCCTGTGAACGTAAGTAATATTTCTCTATTTTGTAAAGTGTCGGACTTGCAAGTCTGATAAAAATTGATTGAGTCACTTACATTCAGTCATCATTGCTCATGTCCATTTTTTTTTCTTTACACTAGTTTGACACCCTCTGGCTTGGAATTCTATTTTGAATGGGAGATTAAAATAATTCATTGCTTTTTGATTCACATTGCATTTAGAAAGAACATTGCAGATGTAATGAGAAATGACCAGTTATCAAATTATTGCTTCTCCTTCCAGAAAAATTTATTTTTCTATCTAAGCATCATGTTAGTTTGGAGCAAAGAGCTGAGTTTCAGTGGGCGATGAAAAGTTTAGGAGATGCTCATTTTATTTGCATTTTGGAATTAACAGTTTGGGCCCATGGAAAATAAAGGAACAGGAAATTATGCAATCCATGCTAATTATCCATGTTTAAATCATACCAAGCATGGGTGTTTGGATTGTTGCTCCCTTGTCTGGTATGCAGAGTCTGGATAGTTTCCGACTCAACAACATGAATGGGCAATTTTCCATCCCAGATCAATGGGTGCAAAGTGACTGTTATGCCTGTTATTTCCTGAAATAGTTTCCAACCTGCCATAGGGGCTTTTGAATGTTGGAACTGCTTAATTACAAGGGCTGCTTCTATACATAAGGACATAGTCCTTTTATAATTCTGAACTGTCAATCAAACAGTGCATTTAAAGGCCCCTTAGTCTGATAATGGTAGGTTGTGGAATAGTTGTTGCCCTAATCCCGGAATGGCGACCCACAGCCTTATGTGGATAAACATTGACTGAAATTGCAAGCACTAATGTTTCATAAACTATTGGATGCTAATTCACAAAAATTAAAAGAGCAAGAAGCTTAAATAACATGATGATTCTATGATTCTATTTTATCCACTTTATACATACATTCAATGGGGTACTTTGAACTCTCCAAAAGGATACTTGACCTTCCACAGGAACTCTGGCTAACTTTCAGTGTTAGATCTTTTCCTCAATTTTTTAAATACCATGAGTCATGCTTTGGAAATCTGTGTAACAAAAATTACTTATTCATAAAAATTTAAGGCAACAGTACTTTTTATTGCTGCCTTTGCAGACTGTGAAATGCAACCTGCCTTTATTCTGCCACCACCCCCACCCCCCCCACAACAAAAATGCAGAGGGTGCAAACCCTGGGAGAGGTTGCTATAAATGTTGCAAAACCCCAGGGCCTATGTCTTCAGGGTGACCCAGCACCATCCATCTCTATGAAATGCCTCATGCCCTGGGCTAATAACTGAGTGCTGTGCAGTGCTCAAACAACATGAAAATGATGGCCAAAACTGACCCGACAGCTCCTAAAACACCCAAGAAAATTCTATTGGAGAGGTGACCAATCAGAGTGAAGTGAGGGACAGACTGTATGTGGAACTGCTCCTCCAATCAGAGATCTTATCTCTCCAGTTCTTCTCCAATCACAGGTTGCTTCTCACCCAAATTTCCTGTTGATAGTTTCATTCCTAATCAGCAGCAAATGTGGGAGCGATGTACCTTGTGGTTGGTGGAGCAATTGGGAAGATAAGTGGCTGCAGTGATCACGTCAGTGACATTGGTGTTATCCAAGTCTGGGGATTACTGTCAGCTGGATTTGAGGATAGCCTTGGGGTTTGTCATCAGTTGAGTCTGTAGATTATTGGTGGCTATGGTCAAGTAAAGGCAGGGAGTGCCAGCAGCTGGGTAAGGGGTGAGTACTGCCAGCCAGTTGCAGTGATTGTCAATAGTGTGTTGGAGGATTTCATCATTCTGGTACTGGGAATGCTGTCTGTTGTGGGGTGTTGGGGGGCAAAGCAAAAGGCTATAGGGATGTGGGTTGAACCACTTGAGAGCAGTTATCCCTGAACCCATCAGAGGTTAATTGTGCCTCAGGAATTCAATGGGACTCCATGCCAGCAAATATTGCAGCCTTGTCGTGGTGTTCCCTTACTGTCAGTCACTCAGTGCCAGATCATGGGACCTAGTATAAGGGAGGGGAGCCACTGAAAACCATCTGTGTGACTCACTGCCCACAATTCTCTAGTGACTGCTTCCACACATTCCATGTCACAACCTTGACTCTCATCAGTGGTGTCCTCGGATTCAGTGGAGATCCTTTTGTTGGGACCTGGAAAATAAATGGCAATAGCCATCAGTCCCAATGTCACTGGCTTGAGGAGGTGGATACCTGACATGGTGTTGAATTGTTGCTGAAGATTGATGCATGTCCATTCATAGTCCTGTTGCAGACAGACAATGGCTTATTATCATGAGGTATTGAGGAAAGAGAAGTCTGTCGGTGTGTTACCATATCTCTTAAAAACTGAATTCCAAATTGAGAAAACTTGATATTGTTATCAATTTCATTGTGATATTCTAAAATATTATAATTTATACTCTGTTGTAGAGTTTGGAGTTTTGTTTCTAGCTTTCCTTATTGTATTTTTTGTGCAGCAATAACCTGTGGTAACCCTGGGGAGATTCTGAATGGACATTATACGACACCAAATGAGACGGTTGGAAATAAAATGTTCTTTTATTGTGACTTTGGGTGAGTATTCAGCCAATAAATTACTGAAAAAATTTTGTTGGAAGTATGTTATTTTTATGGCAACTGCATGTGCATGACATTTCTGATGATGGCTGAACACGTGAGTTGTGATTGCATCTTCCATTTTAGAATTGAACTGAGATTTTAAAAATAATCGCTATACTGATTTAAAGTCAGTGACATTAGAGCTTACACGAGAATATTAATGCACAGTTAGAAATGTTGACTGTAATAATGATCCTTAGACAAGTAAGTTGAGATCAACACAAGACATCAGAGTCTGCTGATTCCTGAACTGGTTAAATTATATTGTAACTCAGCTCTAACGTGAGCTAGGTGCATCCAATGTTTTTCCTGTTTTTATGGAGTGTAATCAGCCCTTTTTTAGCTTAGCAAAAATGTAACAGTATTTGATTCGGTCATTAATCTGGGGGCCTAATCCTGTTCTTTTTTTAAAGTATACGCATTTTAATATATATTTTGACAGATTTTTTTTGGATTTCTAACCTGGTCAGTGAACAAATATCTTCTGGTTGACCTCCAGTTTAGTAATGCAAGTGGTTTGCTTCTTTTTTTCTCTAGATACAAGATAGCGGGTAGAGGTTATCGGCAATGTACAGCTGAGGGTTGGGATGGTGATGTCCCATCCTGTGAACGTAAGTTATGTTTCCTTGTTTTGTAAAGTGACTGATTTACTGGTAAGTGCAAAATGATTGACCTGCTTGCAATTAATTATTGTGTAGTGTTGGTTGGCATCCAAGCTTTCTTCCCTGCAGTAGTTTGACATCCTATAAGCTTGGATTTCAGATTTCTTAGAATGGGAGGCAATGTCTATTCAACGCTTTAATCTATATTGCATGTTAAAGTACATAACGTGTGAAATAAGAAATAGCTATCAAATCATTCCAGTGCCTTCCAGAAGATTTTACAGTTTGCTGTAATGCAAATGGTACTGTTGGAACAAGGAGTTGAGTTTTGGTGTGCAATAGGAAGTTTGAAGCTCCTAATGTTAGCAGAGTTTAACTGACAGAAAGTGGTCATCTGGCTTTGGGTGATTCAGGTGAAGCGAATAGAAGTTAAAGGCAAGTGTAATTGATGCTACTAATCCCTTCTCTATTTTCACTTAAATATGCTACTGTGACTTTGGCTCACTGAATTATTTGAGTTATTTCTACCAGTAGGAAAGCTGTATTAATTAACATTCCAGTCAAAGCTATTGATTTTAATGGAGCAACAAACAAAAATGGTGCAAGTTTTAGTGGTGGTGATGTTGTTGTTGATGATGTTGTTGTTGTTGTTGTTGTTGTTGTTGATGTTGTTGTTGAGGTTGAGGCAAACAGGTAATACTATGGGAGTGGAAGTAAGTAAGCTTTGAATTGCACCAGAAACTTTGAAGATATTTCCTCCCTTTTATTATCCAATGTTCTTTAAATGATGAAGATATTGTTAATTCAATGTTGAATATTTTGTATAACTTTGCACTAAATTTCAGTGACTAATGTTCATGGACACACCTATACCTCTGCTATTCCATGTTACCTTGTCTGTCACCATTTAGTAAGTAAGTAAAGACTGATGTTGATCAATACGTATAGCTAAAGGCCCCTGTTGTTCTCAGACATTACAGACTGAGAGGAAGTCCTTGAATTGTGTTCTAA